TATCGTATTCTAGCCTGGGAAAGCAATTAAGGACGTATCCATTTTGACGTAAGCTACTGCGAGCTAGCGAATTGCCATTATCGTTATAACATTTCGATAAGTTCGTGTGCTTCCGTGTGCTCGCGCGGGCGCGCAAGTCTGTATACGTTATATAGATATATATGCTGCGCGTTTTAATAATGTTCTCGCGAATCCCGAAAGTTCGACTCATGCTTAATGAGAATTCAGTGTATTAAACCTGCTGCTGCTGCTGCCGCCGCCGCTGGGTGCTGTGCTTTCTCTCACTGTTATTTGATCGAGTAAATCTCCCTCACTCCTTTTCGCCGAACAGTTCTGTTAATTAAGCAGATTTTTTTCCAGCGTCCATCGGAGGAGGAGAAGGGGGAGGGGGCAGAAAATTTAAGTTCTCTCAGTCGGCGAAAAAAGTTACACACGGGAGGGCGCCGCGCATGCAACGACGCATGTCTGACCGAACGCGCGCTTTGTCTACTAATTACAAGATTTACTCTCTGGCTGCATTTAATCGCGCCATCTTTTCCGTCAACTCGACTTCTCTTACTCTGAAGTTGCTACACGCGTCGCGGATAATAAGCCACGTGTTTTGCCAACTACACTTACGAGGAGCCGAGAAAACCACCCAACGCGTTGCAGCATCAGCAGCACTGCAGTCTCTCTAGCTCTGTGCGCGCGCGCGCGCTCTCTCTTCTCAGCTGCTAGAGTCATTAGTGCACTTGCGCGCACAGAGGAGTAGGACAATTTTCCGTGTCGACAGTCGCGGAATTATGTCGTCTACTCGACATCATCTTTAACGCTAGTGCGTATTTATGTGTGTAGTATGGGTGTGTGTTGGTGCTGTATATATTTTTGCGCTTTTCCCCGGCACGCGCTTATGACGACGACGACGACGTCGACGACGTTGTTGTGCTTATTAATGTATCTAAGTGTTTGCGCAGTTGCCTCGCAAGTCGCACGATGTTTGGCTTCAATTTGCCTCCGTGTTTGACGAAGCCACATGTGCCGCTATACCACTGCCGCCTCTGCCGCCGCCGCCGCCGCTGCTGCTGTTTACTATCCGTGCTTGCATGCAAGGGCTTTAAGTTTCCTTAGCTCGAGCTCTATAGGCGTGTTTGGCTTGCGCTGGAAAAACAGAATTTCCTCCCGAGCGACAGATAGATGAATAAATTTTTCTTCTCTCTCCCTCGATAACATTGTTAGGTGTATTTACGGTCGATTGCTCCAGCTGCCTGCCCTGATAATAGATATCATGGCAGCTGGCCATTAAGGCGAGCTTTATTATTATGATCGTAGTGCATCGGAACGGAAGCTTCTGTTGCTGCAACGAGCAATAAAGCGTCAATGACAACAAAAATGATCAATTTTCCAAGATCGAATGGTGCGCAATAACAGAGGCATCTAGAACACGAGCAGTATTACGACATAAGTGGCTATATTACTCTCTCTCTCTCTCTCTCGCTCCTCTCCCTCTACCTCTCTTTACTCTTGGACTGTACGCTCGTGTACACTGCAGGGGCCGGTATTGTTCGCGCTTATGTACACGCGCGGCGATTCCGACTTGCTGATGCCTTGGCCGCTCTTATATATCTGTAATTGGCTTGGCTGCTGCCGCTATTCAATGTACTCGATAGTCGCGCGCGCACTGTGTAAAGCTGCTGTATTGGATTACGAGTTCTAATCATCGTCGGAGGGAGAGTTGGAGAGAGAGAAAGAGGGAAAGACACACAGAGGGAATATTACTTGCCCACATTCAGGTGGATACACGTTAATGAAGGATCGTGTGTATAACGTGCGATATAGAGTCGAGGAAAATTCATTGGCTGTACAGACAGCTGCTTCTGCTCCTGCTGCCGCTGTTTGTCAATCAGATATCGCGGTTTTGAACGCGCGGAGCTGAGAAAGCCTCAAAGGAGCTCCTTCTGACTGTCACCAAGTAGTTGATTGGCATAAAAGAAGTAGTTTCCTCAAACGAAGCCCTTTCCCCCTTGCGCGAAGTTTGACTGACAGACGACCTTCCTCCCACACAAACACACACCCAGACGTGTATTCTGCACATTCAATGCGACTCCACTATCCTAGAATCTAGTGCTGTTATTTACTTCAAAAGAGGAAGAAAGTTATATACGTCTATGGGTGCCTGTATGGCAACTGCCATCGCCGCCGCCGCTGCCGCCTCCTCTGCTGCTGCTGCTACTACTGCACATACGTGTGGACGAGAATCGATTTTCCGAAAAGGTATGATGTGACCACTAAGCACCAGGCGCTACGTAAAAGAATTTCTTTTCTTTCTTTCTCCCTCTCTCAGCCACTTTTTTTTTCTATTTTTGCTTTCATCCACGCGACACTGGAGGTGTAGGAAATTGCAATTGGATATTGCGCTATGACTTTTTGACATGCTTTTTATTATACGTACGTGTATTTGTGCCGCAGGTAGTTGAATCGAGCACAAAAGTCAGAGCTCGATGCGGGATGAAGCTTACTTCGTTTTCCTTTTTTTTCTTTTTCGAGCCACGTGCGCCCGTCTCTAGCCGGTAATTCATTTGCGGGAACTGTGACTCGCGTGGCTTTGACGGATGCATCGGCGCGTGGACTAACTTGACCCAACCGCGCGTGTCCGAGATGTTATTTTATGAGAGAGCGGCGCGTTGAAAAATCGCAAGTAGAAATCTCGCCCGAGAGTCGGACATGTGCATACTTCGCGGTAATGGGAAAGCTGCAAACTCAACTGTAAAGTATGTCCTATTTGCAATATTCTTACATATTTATGGGAAAAAATCGATGCGACGATTCGTGGAACCGAAAAGTTTCCTTTCCCTCTCGCTGAATAATAAAAATCCGAGAAAATAATGTATACAACGAGTACGAGGAAATCCATTGTACAGACAAAACGCGCCTGCATGTGTCTCTGCGCGCGCGTCCCTGTACATAGAAATGCAGAAACAGTCAGACACAGAAGTTACGATAAATTTTCTCGTCGCGCAATCGATTCGGCAGCTGTAGCTCTTGGGTATGTGTGGATACAGTTGCAGTTCCACGAAAAAACACTCGTTTGCGTTTTGAAACATTTTGAACTGATCGTTATAGATCGTGCATTTCTTTGTCTGATTTACTCTTTACGGTATTGAAGCAAAAATTTACAAAAAAAGGTTCAACTTTTGTACTTCTCCTTTGATAGTGAAAACAACACGCAGATCTGATAAAATTTATAAATCAAGTACGTGATGTATATGACTTTGCAATTATTTACCATTTCCAGGTTTACAATAGCAATGGAAATGAATAGTTTAAAAACTTTGTTTTTGCTTCTTTTTTTTTCATATTATTTTAAGAATTGACGGAATTTATGAATACAGTAAATATTCCAAAATATATATTTCCCAAAAGTTACTGATAAAATTTCGATGTTATAACAAAAGATTTCCAACTTTGTCGAGATTGTTTATTTTGAAAAAGTTTTCGACCAAGCTACTCTTGTTAAAAAAACTAGAAGCAAATCAAATTTTTATTTGATTGCATTTTAACTAGATTTGAAGGAATTTTTTCGCGGAACTGCACGTATGGGACAAGCTCACATAGCTTTCCATCCAATACTCTATAAATTCTCATGTGTAAAAGTCAGAGTATGCTACGCGCGCAAACGACGAGGATGACATTGCATTCTACCCTCTTTCGCTCACGAGGACTCGCCTGCCTCGTTGCCAGCAGCAGCAAGCCTATATCACTCAGTTTAAAAAGGAAAAGAGAAAGAGAGAGAAAGAGAGGATTCGCACCTTCCTCATTATAATAATCAACTTTCGTGATCTCATTATTGCACGTAACTTTAACGAGTGCTGCTGCCTATACATGTATATAATGCAGAGTAAATCTCAGCTGATAAAATTATAACGACCATCGAGCTGTACACGTTCACACGTAGCCACGTCCGCGTGCGTTTAACTTTGCTTTTTTGCTTTCTTTTGTATCGAACGAGCTTCGAACGAGGAAAAATTATAATGTGACACAATGCGAGTACACGATCACAGGATACACACACATGCTCACACATACACACACACACACAAACACGTGCGCAAGAGATCGTGTGTGTACATGATAGAAAAATGACGGGCTTTTTCTTCTAGAATAGAACTTGTAAAGAGATGAGGGAAAGCTTGTTTTTTTAAAGAATTTCACGCAAGACCGGGTTTCTGCTTAGCACAAAATAAAAAGAATACATGGAAAAATGTATATATCTATATAATATAGAATACACCACAAGAGTGGGCGAGAGGAGGAAAGAGTGGGAAAAGTGCATAAAGCAGGTAAATATTCTTCTTGTTCGTTTTTACGATAGAGTAAGGCTGGATAAGAAGGAAATTTAAAATCAATATTTACCGCCTTAATATCGAGGTGAACTTTTTCCTCTATCTGCTATATATACGGTGGTATGAGGAAGAGATGGAAGAGGATGCGAGGAGGCTAAAATTCGCTTGGCTCTATATTGCATCTGCTGCAGCGGCATCACCTCGTGCACACATACTTGGCAATTCGCTTTGAGGCATTTATAAAAATTTTCTCCCGGCGTTTTAATTTTTGTCAACAGTGAGGTGATTTCGCGACGGAACATTTCTTTGTTTAATTCATTTGTTAATTAACGACCGAAAAGTTTGCCGCAGCGAATGGAAAATAGTGGAAAAAGAAGTATGCGCAAATAAGAGTATGACCTAAAGTCAACGATATAACGTATAGCTGCAGCAGTAGCAGCAGGAGGAGTAGTAGTAGTAGTAGTAGTAGCGGCAGCAACCAACACCTGCTCTCTTCGGGTTCAACGCCTCGAACTCGCGCGCGTATCACACTCTGGGTGGCACACACTTATACATGTCCTAGTCAGCAACGGCAGCAGAGATGAAACCGTACATTTACACATTCATACAGAGTCGAGTACATGCGCAGATTCGCGTAAATATAGGGTGTACGCGTTGTTTATTCGCGCAAAAATTACGCACCTGTAAATCCTTGCAGTAGTAGCATCGCGTGCTCCTGTCGATGCGAGTAACAAATTGGAAAAACACTAGCGTGTCCGTCGCGAAGGTTCATCACATCACGCACGAGGCGTCAGAGGCGAAACACTCGTTAAGAATTTATCGAAGCGCTCTGATATCGCGACGGCGAAATGTCTGTGACTAGGGAATCGCAAAGCGCGTTCAGAGCGAAAAAGGCAGAAGAACCACACAGGCACACGCGTACACGTATCAGTAGCCGGACGATCATCTACAGAGATCCGAAATAACGAGCTGCAGTACTCGAGTGCAGTCGTGGTGCAGATCGGGGAGGTGCGCGCGCGAATTTGCTCGACGATGCGACAGATCGCGCAGCCACGCTAACACTGCGGAATCGTGCGGAGCGCACCCGCCCTTATAGCCTCGCCGTCTCGACGCTGCCGCCACCGCTCGCGCCCCCTCTTGCGCGCAAGCGTGTCGTCTGCCGAAGGCTATATACCTATATACGCACGGCTGTGTTATAGTATAGTGGTATATATATATATCGCATTCGCTATGGCCATGTACGCATAAGCAGCGTGCGGCTACTCACCCCCGCGTCAGGATCAGGTGGATACGCGCGCCTCCGCTATGCGTATATACTTGTATACGAGCGCGCGCAAGAGCCTTGTTTTACCATCGGGAGTAATTCTTTTTTTTTCGTGAGAGAGTTATTGATGCTAACGTGCATTGAAAGAACTGGGATGTCAACGAATTTCTGTATAGCGAGCTTTTAAAAACGAGTCATACTTGACAAATTCACGAAACAACGGCCCAAGGACTCACAAAGAATCTTCATAATTCAATGCGTTGCGGCGTGCGGCCAATGTTTCGAGTACATCGCGTGCACGTGACAAAATTCCGGCTGCTCTTTGGCGACAATGATGTCATATACGCGCGGCCATACAGCAATTCAAAAACGCGAGTGTATGTCTATTTTTTGTTGTTGTTTATTTCTTTTTTTTTTTCCACTCTTTTTCCATCCGCCCACAGGTGCGCGTGCAAAGGAGATGTGGTTTTTCGGTGCGAGTGCACGCGCTCGCCCGAGAGCTTTTGAAGGTTTCGACGCCAAATGCGGGGAGAGAGAGAGAGAGCTTATATACATGCAAAATTCTTCACTGAAGTGAAAGCTACGTTCTGGTTTTTGTCCAAATTGTTTGAATGGTAGTTTTTACTCTGTATATGTGCAATGCACACCCAGCCATGAGCACACCAACAGGAATAGAGAAACAGAGCTCAAGTAATGAGAACTGAGAACGTGCGTATTGTTGCATGAATTTTGCCAGAGAAATGAAAGTTTTTCCTAGAGATGATTTATCCTTTTTTTCGACAAAGATACTGCCTTTATTGTTTCGCATTCGTTTTTTGGCTAAGAGCGGAGGGTATTTGAATATTTCACGAGAAAACGATTTGCACTGCGGAAGCTATGGGAATAATTTCTCTCGATCTGCATTGTGCGATTGTTTCAACTATCCATTGATTGCCTATTTTGCTTTATGTTGCATGCTATACTATGTGAATAAAGAGCGATCCAACATTTTCTCTTTGAAATGTTGCAACCAATTTGAAAAACTCCATCTCACCCTCTGAGCTCAACAAATAATCGTAAGATATGTACGCGCTGACAAACGTTCGTATTTACCTTCAAATGTATACTGCGATCGGTGGTGCATGTATCTCTTTGTAATGGTTGGAAAGCTCTCGTTTCACTGATTTTCTAATTTAAATTCTGCATTATAAAAAGCATACTTATTCGATTTATGTTAAATATCTTAGTAGACGATTCTGCTGTGATTTGAAATATATTGAATATAACCAACTATGAAGCTGATTTAACAAAATTTCACCAAAATGATAAAAAAATGTAATTGGAAACTTTCGTTTTAGCTTCTGTGATTCGGTCAAAGTAGCAACTAATAGTACGAGTACTATCAGATATTTCGTATCCAAAATGTAAATGCTGATTCGCTCAATGAAAACGAGCTCGAGGAAATACCTTTATGGCGCTCGAAACATAACAACCTATCTTCTCGTTCGAGTCGCATTAACTTAGTTAACGCATCGAATTACGAATGTTCTTGCGGGAAACTAGATATCAATCGAGTAATTTGGTCGTTTTCGATATTTGTTACTACTTAAGTAAAAATACTTACCTTTTGGTGAAATTTCTTCGATAGCCGCATAAAATAATCAAATTCGGATTGACAAATGGTTATATTACATCACACGTCTGATTACAACAAAAGAAAGCTTGAAATTCAAGACACATATTAACGCACATATCAGTCAGCTCATCGTGTGTTATTCGAAGCAGCAAAGCTCTGGACGTGTGAAATGTCATCTTGTTTCCAAGGGAGAATCCCTATTACGGTATGTGCGTGAGTGTATATATGTACTTCTCGTGTAACTCTCAGGTATATATTACGAGCAGACGCTGACGTATATGTTCATCTGTCTGACGTTGATGACCCCCTGCCGCTGCGACCGCTGTTGTTTCACGAATTCATTCTTCTTTGGAGAGGATCCTTGAGATCATGGGTGCTGTTACGAAAGAAAAGCTGCAAGCTGCTAATGACTGTTTGAGCTTGCGTCATTGAGGGATGAATTTTTCAATGATTACGAATGTACTCGAGTTCAGCTTAAAAATTCATGAAAATTTATTCATACTTCTACATCGTTATTTCCCATATTATTACAAGAATATATTATGTACAAAAAATGTTGAGCGTTTTCAATTGTTAAGACTTTTGATGAACGCGTCGTCGACGAGCCTGTGATCAGATACACGTTCGCTCAACAGTTCATCGTTAACGTCATAAACATATCATCATTCCTTTTTCAGTGCAATATTCGTATAAAAAAAAATTTGCTCGCGCCGAGTGAAAGAGCAGAGGGTACACAGAGTAATAACATTATGCATACAATAACTATCTACTCATATACGCACGGACAAACAGATAAAGACAGACAGACACACTCTGACTTTTACCGAAAAGAAATAGAAAGAGCTAGAAATGCGCGAATGTGTATGTGCGTATGAGTGTGTATGTGTGTACGCCACACGTCTACGTGTGTGCGTGCATGCAGTGGAGTATATAAAAACTCATCTTGTAGAGCGCGCGTGCATACAGGCTAAACGTATTAAAATACATGTTTACGGGTAACTTCATCTCGTCGCGCAGTTTCTTTCTCAACTTTCTCGAATTTCACATGGAGCATTCTTTATCTCTCTATACATATACATATTTTTCTCATCACTCCATTTTCATATACATACATCATTGCAGCAGTCCGTAAATAACACTCGTAGCGTGCTCCCATTCCCATGCGCTCAGCTAATAACAGATAGGATATAAATATAAAATATAATTGTAAAATCTCGCAAATTTATTTACAAAAGTTTCGTCGAACTTTGTTCGTCGCTCGCGCAATAGACGCGTCGATTATTGATATCAAAAAAGTAATAATTCAATGCGCGTGCGAAACAGCTGCGATAATAAAACATATGTCGTTGTAGCACACAAGTCATACACCTATTGAGTGTAATCTCGAATAACAAATATATATAAAGTATTTATTTTTGTTTACCCCTACGTGTGTGCGTTCGTGTGACCGTCATGAGAAAGTAGTGAGTAACACGATAAATAATAAATCGGTAAAGTACAAAATAGTCGATAAAAATATTTCACACTCGCAGGCACGGTATTAATAAAAATAAAAGTAATGTAGGATCGCAGCGATGTAACAAAAGAAAAAGGGAAAAAAGGAAAGGGTCTAAAAAAGAGAGAAAGGTCGCACACAGTAGCCAACTTGTACTTGTCGTATATTCAGCACCAGGTCATAATGCGGAGAAAACAAATAAAGGTAATACCTGTCGGAAAGAAAAGGAAAAAAAGAAGAAGAAGAAGAAGAAGAAGACGATGACATTGCCGTATAAAGGAATAGAAGAAGAGCAGTAACATCTTGGTTGAGTATTCTTCTCCTCCACCTCTTTTGTGTCGTCGTCGTCGTCGGGAGTTGCTCTCTTCCCACTCTCTTTCTCGCTTGCTCGCTCTCTCTCGTTCTCTCTTCTCTCTTCTATCTCTCTCTCTCTCACTAGACGACCGAGTAATCTTCGAGCAGAGCGTCGCCAAAGTGGGTGACCACGTAGTCGTGATAGTACATCATGATGCAAAGGGGTTGGCCTATAATAAGACTTGCCCAGACGACGATGTTGCCCCATCTGGCGCCCCAGTTCTTCTCGACCAACTTGCTCAGTACCGATAGTGGAATCTGTATGTATGTGTGTGTACACAAAAGAGCGTTATAGGTAGCTATATGTATGTATATACACAGAGACGGAGAGCTCGGGGGGAAAAAAAAAATTTTTTTCGCGCGAATGGCCCGATGCACTTAGTGACGTACATTTATATCAAGCACGCGCAAGAGGATAAAGTTTGTGCTTGAAAGCTCGAATAGATAGAATTTTTCTAAATATCCGATTTTGTTTGCAAGCTCGGGTGTTATATATCAATTATACAATTTCACTTTTTTTCTTGTCTGAATATTTTACAGCAATCTTTTAAAAGCCGGTCCCCGATGAATTTATAAATTAAAAAGTGCATAAAGTTCGATCCGGATGACATTAAAATTGCGAGCTCTCGCGCGCACTTATAATATATACGTATATATCTATGAAATAGCAATGAAAATAATAACGCGCAAGCATCTTTCTCATTTCTCTCTCGGCGGTGGAACGAGGGTAATAAGAAAGTGCTTCTCTCTCGTCGCTTACCTGGCCCATCATACCCATGAACGCCCAGATCTTGAAGGTCTTTAGCGGCACGCTAACAAGGTACTCGTGGAAGAAAGCGCTGATAAAGAAAACCGTAATACTGGCCGTATTCTTGGCGTAGCCCATCTCGACTATCGGTATGTACAAGTGCCTGTGCGTCATGAAAAAGAGAGAGAGAAGGGAAAATTAATTTTCGGTTAGCGGAATGAAGTTTTCTTTCTTCTTTCTTCCTCCGTCAGCTGAAAATTCACGTTAAGAGTTTGTGGCTTATTTAGTAGCGCTCCGGGTGCGGGCTTCAGTGCGATCGCTATTATGACCGAGGCCGCGAACGTTTCGAGCGCTTATCGCTACCGAAAAATGTGTCAAAAATGTCATTTGTTTTATACTTTCGAACGCTCAGCACACAAGCATTTTTTTTACCTCTGCGAGAAACAGTTAAAAAAATGTTCCTTTAATTCTCCTTTTTTTCGGGAATATGCGTGTAAGCTTGCACCGTGCGCGCATACAAATGATGTTAGCCTCGTAATTTAGAGAAAAGTCTCTCTTTTTTTTCTCTCTTCCCAAGTCATGTCTTTACACGCGTTTAAATTCCAACGCTGGCGCGCACACACGTGTATACTTATTTTTTTGCGTCCACAGGGTCTTCCTAACTTTTCCCTACCACCCAGCCGCTGTGCAGCGTATGAAACTTTAAAAGGAGCAAGCGACCCACGCTTGTGTCGTGTGTGTGTGTGTGTGTTCGTGTAAAGGCAAGTCCGTGTGCAAGGCGCGTCTAAGTCCTGAGTGTTATGGAAGAAGCGCCCGCACCCTCTGCGCTCGGCACAACGTTTGTACGTGTGTGTTTGTGCCCGTGTGTATATGTGTATACGCCAAGAAGTGACGTTTTTAAAACCTTATTCCAGGCAACGAGCTGTACACTGCGAGAGCGGAATGGCTAAATTATTTTCCTAAACTTTTTATATCACGTTACTCCGGCATATACTGCGCGCGCGCGCTTGCTTCTGCCTAGGCTTACGTGAGATATTACGAGTGCCGCTGCCGCTGCACCAAAAACAATATCTCGAGCGGTGGTTGAACCTTTGAATACTTGCGTAATCAATTTCCCATCTCGCTGCGGGAATAAACACGCGCTCGCGCGTACTTGCAAAATTGCCGAATATCTCATTTATGAAAACTTGCCGCTTTTACAAAAAAAAAAAAAAAAACGAGTAGCTGCTACACACTCGTGTGCGCGTTTGTGCTCGAGTGTGGGTATGAGTATATGTATATATGTGGCAGTGCGCCAGTTTAGTCGTGTGTCTGCTTGATCGCTCGGCTTCGCGCGCAACTTCGAGAGTGAAATAAATATCAGGCGTTAGAGTGAAGCGAGCATTTTGTATACACATAGCGAGGGCTCACGCGCAGGCATATATACACACACGGACGCAAAAACGCAACGAGTGTGCAGTGCAGCTACCATCCCTCAACGCAAATGGTGTAAATGCTGCATACACCGAGAGAGCAGCATTGCCAGCTGAGCAATACTTAAGGCTACTAAAAAAATGTTTCGTCCAGTCTTTCCGTCTGTTTATTTGTATCTAACTTGCAAAACTCACAGCATTTGTTGCTGCTGCGTAGCCGTGGTAGCAATATTATATGGCGAGTAATATAGTTGCAGCAATATTTTCAATTGCCACCATGGCTGTACTGCTGTCTCGGCGTGTACGCGTATGTATATTGCGCGTGTGTACACTGCCTATGTGCTAGCTGTTCGTTAAAATAATACCACTGAATTGGATGTGTCTGGGCTATTTTTTTCCCACTCGGATACTTGTTTTTTATTTATACACCCAGAGCTGCAGTGCGTATGACTTGTGTTATTTGTTTAGAGAGAGACGAGCGCAGTTCCACGTACGTACATATATCCCGGTGCTAGCCATTGGGCAGTTTGGTTTTCTAAGTGAACCTCTATCGTATTTATTTAACGTAACTTTGAATTATTATACTTCATAGCAATCATCGCGCTTACACGGAGCTCGCGCAGCGCGTGTGGCGATAAAAAACACGCTTTTCGGGATCTCTGTTTATTTGATAAATGAAAGTAAGCGAACGTACACACTCGGCTAGCAAGCCCATTGAATTTTATTATATCGCGAAAGTGTGAATTGCTTCGAGCAGAAGATGGTTTCATATTGTGATGAAAATAAAATAAAAAAAAGAGAAAGACAGAAAGAGAGAGATGAAAAAAAGGCGGAAAAGAATTCCAAAAGAGATGAGCACTCGTTCGCGAGAGATAGATAACTCGATCAGATAGAGACGCGTGGCAAATTTAATACGACGCGACTTCAGCTGCAGCCGACGCTGCTGCTGCTGCTGCTGCTCGCTCTTCTACTTCTTCTTCGTCCGTCCGTGAGCATAATTCCTAAACGACTTTCTTATATTTATCGCGCGTTGCTGGAACTGTGCGCGCGTCTTTCTCGCTTCCTTCTTTTGCCACTCGACGACTCATGGTCGATACGACACGTCGGATGATTTTATTTTGCGCAAAATCGAATGAACGTTGTATGTTATTAAATGACTGACACTGCCAGAGCTAATGCTCGGTAAGTGATTCGATTTTGCGGCCAAGTATTTTGAAATTTTTTACCTCTGAATATTTGCAAGACTGATATATATTTTACCTGAGAGCCCATCGATGAACCGGCATATTCCAAGTCCTCCAGAATGTATCGATATTATTGGCATTCCACCAGTCGCTGTAGAAATTACGATCGGCAAAGTGTAATAGCTCGCCCATTAAATTCAAGTAGGAGTGGAAAGTCAGGTAAAAAAAGCATAGCCACATCAAATGGTTGGGTATCTGTTGGCAGAAATATATATTGAGCAAAATAAAAAAAACTAAATTTATTAATCGTACTGAATGCAACTATGCGACAATTCATTAATCATTTTTCGTTATTTTAAATAAACTTTAATTTCCGAGTTGCGACCGAGTCGCAACCGAGCCGGTCCGCTGCGCGCAATCAACAATTTCCAACGAGGAAGCGATGAATTTTTGTTTTATTTTGCATCATCGAGCTTCATTTTGTATAGGCAACCAAGAGAGAGGGAGGAGAGAGGGCGAGAGAAAGGCAGTGGGAGAAAGATACATATGCAGCAGTTAAAATAACTAACATTTTGACTGTCCCGCGCGGCTCGCGCGTGCACTAAAATAGAAAGCAACTTTTGTGAAATATCGTATTTAGGACGCTGTTCACGCAAAAAAAAAGTTTGATCAAACAATGCCCGAGCGAGATTTCAATAGTCGCGCGCGCAAAGTGATATATGTATAAGAAAATTTATCGAATACAAATCCAGACACGCATGTTTAATTTTGCCGGATGTTCGCTTCGTTTTTAATTCTAAAATCATGCATTGAATTCGTTGCGCGAAAGAGAAGGGCACTAAACGAGCGAAAAAGAGAGTGCGCGGGAGAGGGAGAGTAATAAAAGCATCGAAAGCTCGCAACGCAGCCAAGGTGAAAATTCGGAAGTTATTTCGTTTCGTATCTTTCCTCTGGCTCCTCGCCTCGTGAGAGATCCTTCAAGACTTTCCTATATAACGTCAAAGGGTTTAATAATGTCTGTGTCGGTACAAAGCTTGAAAGGACGGTCAAGTCGCTCCTTTTTGCGCCTGCGGCGGACACTCGTTCTCAAAAGAGCATCTCTCACTGGCTCCCTCGGCCATACAAGAAGATTTTCTAGTATCCTATATATAAAGGAAAAACCTTCTCCTTCTTGCTGCGAGTGAGCACTGACGTTTTAATTTCGATTTCACCCGATCGTGCTGCAATAGCAACATTGGACGGACTTCGAGAGCAATACCTTGCCCGGCTACAAAGCTTTATTTCCAAACAAACGTGAAAAAAAAACAAGTTCCAACCGGTTATATACTCTACGCGTGCTCTGCGTTCACTGTCGTCTTTGGCTGTTCCACAGTCTCGTTAAAACGATGCGTTCGTAAAAAAAAAACCCCCAGAAGTCTTTCAATGACGATGACGATACACACAGGATTTTCGTTAACGCGCGGAGAATGCAAAATAAATGATGTGCCAATTTCGGACGATTGTAAAATGTGTCTAGCATGAACACAACTCCTGTGTCTGAAATTTTAACGATCCGTGCTGAGCTGCTGCGATTTCGGACGATACGTATATGCGATGGCTGGCGCTCGATATCGAACTAACGAAGACAAGAGACAAAAGCCAAGAGAAGAACGGATTGAAGCATATAGAAAATGCAGCGGAGCACGTCGTTCTAATTTTATTTTCAACGAAGCGTTGTCTGCGCTCTAGTGCATTGAAAGCGGGAGAAAAATGAAAAATATCGATTATAAGCGCCGAGACGAAAAACAGAGAGCGACGATAGTGAGACGATCTTTCCCAACGCGATAATGAAGCACACATCCATTTGCATGCGGAAGTGTGTCTCTGAACGAGAACTTCGCAGGCACGTCTGAAATTTTGCTCTTTTCGGACGATGCAGCAGTCGTCAGCAAATCATCCAAATGTGCTAACCGAGTATAATATTTTTATGCTATAAATTTTATTTTATACCGAAAAATAAAATTTCGTAAAAAATAACTACGGTAAACAAAATTCGGGTCACATAGCTTAGCTAATCTCTCCGAACAAAGCCAAATCCCTCGCTCCATCTCGCTCGATCGTAATTAGGGTCGATAGGTTGGTACACTCTGCAATCATCGCATTATTTCCAAACGGTTTACGTCACTTTTAATAATACACCGCATCTGCGGCTGCGGCATACGAGTGCGACATACGCGTGGCTAGACTAAATTTTACCGAGGCTAAATTCCGATCCTCTCGTTTAATTTTTTTCTCTTGCATTGAATTATTTTACTTTATCTGTGCAATTTTTCGAGAGGCTTTTATAATTGATCGGAAGATAGGCACTTATAGCGTTCGGTTATTAATTCAACATATTTCGCGCTGTGCGTATATACTGCGCACTCTATCATTTATAAGCGCCAAGAGTGCACATAAATCAATGCAGCTAAGTATCGAGAATGAAATGAGAATCAGTGCGACTCGATATATTTTATGCGCAAAAAAAGCAAGGATTATCATCGAATATCTGCTATACGACTTCGGAATGCATTAAACGTGCAGAGATAGCGAAAGAGCTTATTGTTTCCATACACATAATACGCGTATACGCGCGAAAGAGAGAAAGCTAGAAAATTTCATTGCGGCTTAACAGTTTGCAGCGCAGAGAGAGAGAGGGAGAGAGTATGGCGTACAGTGCAGCATCCTTGAACTTTGGGATAACTCGATTTTCATTGAAGTACATAAAGAGGCCGTCATAAAGCTCTCTCTTTCTCTCTTCCGCTCTCTCACTATTCCTCTCTCGCAAGGTCGACCACCGCAATAAGCTTCGATATTATGAGATTTTTATATACGCAGCCAAGCACGCGCGGACCAGTGCGAAATTCCGTGCGATAGATAAACGGAGCGTTTATTCCTTTTATTATTTACGATTTATAAAAGTCGTCGTGCGCCGAGATATAAAAGATAGAAATTTGCTTAACTTACCGCAAGCTTGAGGAGTCGCTCGGAGGCTTTGGCCACGTCCATATTCTGAAACACAAAACGAATATCGCCTCTGTAGTAGATGTACATCCACATGGGTCACACACAAAGTTCGGAATTACATTAATTTTCCTTATACAACAGTGTGTAACTGCACGAGAATGGCAGCATAAAGGTATGCCTAAAAGGCATACATAAAGACGAGCTGAATGTGTGTCTGTGTGGGCGTGTATGTGCGCGAGTGTGTGAGTGTATATACATGTATACATAACCAAAGTGCACATCGAGGGTAAAGGCTTTATGCGCACTACATCGAGAGATAGAGGCAAAACGAATTAGGAGTAACACGCTCAGAATGGATCATGGAATATTAAGGTGAAAGTTTATAATTAAATACGCCCGGCGTATGCGCGTGGGTGTAGGTGGATGAGTGCGCCACACACACATTTATACATACATACGTACATGTGGATTGCGTCTAATGCATGGGTGAATTGCTACGGTAAATTATACGAACGTGTGTGGTGGTTTTGCCACAGGACGCGCAGCACTGCAATAGCTATGTAAGCTTTTTTGGCTCATTGCACGTTGTGTGCTTTGTGTACGACTCGCGCACATAAGGCCAACAATTCATGCTAACTCGACGCAGCTGCCGACGTAACGTTGCGCGCATATCGATGATCACTGCATCCGCATCCAAGATGGAAAACAAAAAAAACAACAACTTTCGTAGAAATAAATAAAGTCCAAGAGGTATTTTCCTTTCTTTTTTCTTAATCTATACCTTGGTCTAATTTAATTCCGCTGTCTCGTCTTACTCCCTGCATCTCGCGAAAGTTTTCCAAACGCGGGGCGAGTGCGCGCTTGACTAGATGCAATAATACTATCGAGTGCGCAGAAAGAAAAACCGCCTCGGAAGCATCAAATTCCTCAGCCAACAACAATGCTTCGTGTGCCATACAACCCCTCTCGCCATATACACATACAGATATATAGTATACGCGCGTCGAGAGTACGAGGGTAATAAAAAAGCCAGTAGATTCAATTAGCACCTCTCACTCCACTTTTCTGAGAGCCACTACTTCTCTAACTGTTGCCGTCAATTAATTAAAGCCATTCGCGAGGCAGTACTTACACTATATAAGACGTTTTATACCCCCATCCCCGCCACTCATCGCGTTGTGTGTGTGTGTCTCCGGCGCGACGACATTCTCATTCGAACGTGTACTCGCGTAGCCCGGCGCGATGTCGAGGTTTTTACTCTACCTCAAGGTCGAGTGTAGGTATAGTTGAGGGGAAATAAAAAACTGCTTCAACCGAGTTGAGTATTCAATTCCAACACCTTGACCGATAGTTATTTTTAATTAGACAATTACATTCTTGTTATACCTGCGCAAGATTCGCGAGTAACTGAAAAATATCCCACAGTTTTGCCAGCGAGTGTTGAAAACGTTGAAGGAAAAGGCATAGCGACTTACAAAGAGCTTCGAATATAAAGCATAGCGCAGCGCTCTTCATTCCCGTAGAAGCTTTTCTCAAGTGCCTTTTAATTATATTTATCTTGTCACATCTCCATCTTGGTGCTCTATATACACACAAAGATATAAAAGCCTCGTCATTTGAATTTGCTGAAAAGTACGAGTTCTCGCTTTCTTTCTCTTTCGCACATTCGTCTCTTTCCCCTCGACATACATAGATACACTAACACATTTCTATTATACGCGCGTATATATTATATATAAGGTATCTTTGAGAGATGCAAAGATTTACATCAGCTCGACCCTACGCCTTGGTAATTGAAATAACACGAGGCGATAATGCGCGAACGATGAGAAAGAGGAGCTGTGAGCCAAGGAGAATCGTAAAGCTCCTTACCGTCTCGTTGACAGACAGGCCAATTTTTTTGTCAACCCGTCCCAAGACGCGCAAAAAACGGAGAATCAGATCTTGAGTGCTTTTTCTCTCTTCTCTCCTTCCTTTTTTGCTCGACCTTCTTTTGAAAATGTGTTTTCTTGTACTTTTGCATTAACAGACGGACAAGTAACAGTGGACTATAATAGCTCGAGTGCAGGCGATGTGCAATCTATATAACGCATATCTATATATAGAGAGACAGCAGAAACACCTGGAAACAGTAGTGGCAAATGTTTGCCATGCAGATAGCATCATAAACACGAGAGAGCAAACGTACGTGCTTATGATCGCGCATCTCGCCGAGCTATAATAATGCAACATCAGCAGCACGCGCACATACAGCCAGACCCGCGCGCTCGCTCACGCCTGCATAGATACAATATGCAATCGATAAACGCTTGTATATACATTTCACAGGCGTGGACATCAGCGATGCAGACGCGCACACATATCTTTCGGCCCCAAATGCAACTGCCTTATGTATACTATAACCGCACTCACGCTTGGCTTTTGTAATATTGTGACAGTTTCGAAGAAAAATTGACTGCACGCGGTGGCGGTGTCGAGAGGCATGAGCAATTTTTTCGTATATTTCGGAGTGAAAGAATTCGAGGTGTATAAAGATCGACGCCCCACCGAACGTCAAGGAGAATTTTTTTAATGTATATATTTCAGATGAGAAACGAGGCTTGAACTTTACAGGCTTTTTTATGGACGCTGATCGTGAATTTCAATACACATTTTGGCTTTTGAATAGAAATGAAGACGTACGTATAGAGTGTGTGTGTGTGCGTATGTAAACGGCAGCCGGGGAATTCAACAGCTACTGGGGCATTTTATTATATCGCGGCACTGGAGACTCCATTCGATTCGAAGAATGAAATCGTTGAAAAATTTCATACGCGCAAGTGAAAAAAATGAAGAATATGCGAAAATTTTAATTCACCTTGCGCGCGCGTTATTTTTGCGGCTGCACGCCGAGAAAAGAAGATAGTGTTTATAATGACGACGCGATGATGATGATGCATAAGCAGTAAAAAGCCGAGCGTGACGCAGCACTTTTTTCGTCGAGGAAAAGTGTGCGGAGAGCAGATAATAAAAAATTATTCCGATCCAAGCCTTTTTTTCTCGCTAATCATACTTAAAATTCTGAAATATGCGCGAACAATAACTCACAGCGTGATTTATGATAATGCAGCAATGTCAATGTCATAAATATATTTTACGTTTGAATATTCTGTTCGTGCAAGGCACATCGCTTATTCATTTGAATTATTCTTGCTGATAAATTGGAAATACAGCGATACTCTCTAATTAGTATTTCAATAATTACTTCCCTTCAATTAAAAATTAACCCCTAGAATACGCGAGATTGCGAATCAAGCTGTGGTAAGGAACAGAGAAAATAAATCATTAATTCTCATTAGCTCTCGAAGACAGATACATAATGAAATTTTGATATAAAAATATTAACTGATCCGCTAAAAAGTTTGTATCGATCGACAAAGAGCCAAACGACGTCAATGGACATTTAAGAACATCATTTGCTTTATCGGCCGTTGAGTGCAGAAAAAGCGACCTGAATTCCACCGCCACCGCATAATACTACACGAAATGCGTTGAGAGGAATGTCGCCCACACGAAAAAAATAATGATGAAAAAAAAATTCTTGGGCTTCTAGATTCATAATAAAACTAGTGCTTTGGAAGTACATTCCTCTATACTGTTTCTTTTTACTTTCTAGCCAAAGCTTTTTTCGGTTACCAATGGTTGTACGTGAAATGACTTCGTTTGCTAAAAGTTGAATAAAAAAATTTCCACCTCTTTTTTTCGTTATTTGGCTGCCCATTTCCAGAATTTATAAAAACTTTTCACGCATTCATTGAAGATTGAGAATAGTCTAGTCCTCTCCACCTACGTGTATTATTTCGAGTAGGATTTTTTCCATCTGTGTGCAGAAACGTGGAAGGAAGTATTTTTACTCTTTTCCTCGTGGATTGTCTTCAGCGGTACTTGCACTGAAGTAAGAAGAAAACATGTTGGACTCGCAAAAGGAAAGAGAATTAAGGTGGGCTCGGTAACAAGTTGATGGAAAATCGATACAATCAATATTTTATCCATTTCGCAAAGTCAATGGATTGTGCCAAGCAACACGCCGTACATACGTATATATAGAGAGCATGCTAAAGACGAGACAGGTCGTTTTCGTAAAAATCCCGGAAAACGATCGATTTTATATACGATCTTTACGCGCTCCCATGGGGGAGGGGGACAAGCTGCGAGGAGCGAAGCGAGAAAAGAAGCTCTCGCTCGTCGGTGTCTTGTTCTTACAAACGATAAGCTATATCGTTCTTTCTTTTTTGCCCTTTTATTCAACGCTCGATGCGACCTCTTTTTCTCTTCTTTTTTCTCCACGTACTCGATGCGGATGATGCTCGGTAAGCGTATGATACTGTCTGCAAGTACGTATTTTCCATTTTTTTCTTCATCAATACAAAATCTCATTCAGTTTTATGCGAAAAAAATGTACTTTTACGCAAAGTTAATACTTCCTGCAATTCGTCGCGATAAATTTATTTAATGCCAGCGTAGTAAGCAACAACGTCAGTGGTAACGTGGTTTTCAGCTTGTTCTCCAGCCATTATGTTTCTCGCTCTCTCTCTCTCTCTCTTTCTCCTCGCATACACATACTCTCACTTACTCCCTCGCTCGCTTCTCTTGTACACTGGAATTGTAATGGAGTTGTTAGGCTTTAGAAACTTTTGAATTTCACGATTAGACTCTCTCTCTCTCTCGCGCGCGCGCGCGCTTGTTCCTACATAGCAGATTTACTCGTGCAGCGCGCGGCTCACCGGGGGCTGCTCGTGGGTAGGGAGAGAAACAAGTTATACGCGTTATGTGTTGCATTGACGTACAAATGATTGCCACCCCCGCGCTTGCGAGCCGGCTAGAAGTAGTATAAGGAGGATTAAATTGCGCGGCGAAATCGCGAGACTGAGAGAGAGAGAGAGAGAGAGAGAGAGTGAGTGAACCTGGTGGTACATAAAGTACTGAGCCTGAATGACTGGCTCGGCTTGTTAGAAAGTACTTGGGCTACGCTGACACTTTCATACGAGTTTGCTCACAGCCATGAAAATGTAAAAGAGAATGAGCGAGTGGCTGTATGTGCTTGCGAGAAAGTCAGCTGAGCGTTAATTATTGTTGTTCGCGTGCCTCCATGCCTGTGGATATATCAAATTTATTTCCATTTGCGGATTAAAATGATTTGCAGAATCTTACGACGGAAGAGCCAAAAAGCATCGTTACTTAAAGACTATACGGGCGTTTGCGCCAAGCTCAATGGTCAGATTCGTCGTCAGATGTATATATCACATACGATTGACTTTTATTGTCGAGGACGAGCGGGACGTGTTACAGCTAAATTCGCTCGAGATCCATTAAGAGAGTCGCACGTTTTGCTGATGGTAAATTTTCACGGGCGCAGCTCGCCCGCAAATGTGTCTGGCCATAACCATCGAGATCCGTGCGAGCTTGATTCACGGCGTTCGATTTGTCCGGGCTCGAGCTTTACGCATCGAGCTAAAACTAATTCCCATTTTGGTGCGTGTGTGCGTTCGTGTGTGTGTGTGTCCATGCGATGTATAATGAATTTTTACGATGATAAAATGGCCGAGACGTAAAAAGCTCTTATTCTACTTACGCTGAAGGGTATGAGGGAATTCTTCACCGAGGGCACCATCCACTGCTGGAGCAGCGACATAACGACTTGACAGCCCACAACGACCTCCAGGATGCGTTTGATTAAAAACCTGCGGAGCAAAGTGACAACAAAAAATAAGGCTAAGATAGTAAAAGAGCTCCCGCGGATGATATTATACCGAGTGAGTGAGAGAAAAATTTCGAGCCATTATCATCTTTTCTGCGGTAATATTCCGCGCACGAAGGGACTCCATGAAAATTCTAGCTAAATTTAATAATTCCCACGAGAGACGCGCGCGTTATTTGCGGCGAAATTTTTATATCTCTAAGTACGTACGGGCGCGCGCGCAGGGTCTCGGGTGCGCGCGCGAAAAAAGCTCAACGACGTAAGTAGCTCGCTTGGATCGCTCCAAGGCTGAAAGGGGAAATGTATCATGCAGGTACAATGCAATGCGCGCCCGAGCCGAGGTAGCTGAGAAAGGGAAAGAGAGTGAAGTAAAGCAAAAGGGGGATGCTCAAATCGAATACTGTCGCTGTCTCGTACTTGAAATTCCGTACGCAGAAGGGCATTCAAGATAGTTCATCCTTACCACTTGTGGGCAAAGAGAAGCCGGGATTAGATTGGTATTGGGAGAGGAACTGCTACTGCTACGTACAGCTCTCGAGTCCGACTGTACACGCGGATTCTTTCTTTCTTTTTTTTTTGTGTGCCACCGACGCGCGCGAGTATGAATGGGACATCTCGTGCGAGAGTGGTAGCGCCGGTGTAATGCATCAAGATTTACTTCCGAGTCTTATACACGGAGAAATATTTTATTATCGAGCTTATTATGTCTTGGGTGAGCTCTATCAATGTATAAAAAAGCTCGCTCGGGAAATTGAGTTATAGATGTGTAGCGCGTTCCATTGATTGCCAGCTGCAGCCCATCGTACAGAGGAAACGCGCGCGTATTAATTTAAAAGGCTTAGAGTAAAAGAATGAAATACATAAACAAAAGTACGTTTCACGCGACTAGCTCTCTCTTGCCTGCTGCCACTGCCTCTCACTCGCTCGCGCTATGCAGTTTCATAATCAAGTTTAATGAAAGCGAAATATTTTCCGAGTGAATGAATAAGTACACAGCAGCGCGAGTGAGAGCGCGCGGGTGACGGCAGCCCAACAAGAATGAACTTCTGCTGCTGCATGCGGTTTTGAATAATAGAAAAAGCTTAATTAACTATGAACGATGAAGGGTTGTGTGTGAGCGCGAGAGCACGTGCATATATAAATACAGGCAGCGTTTTATTCGCTAAGAGAGTGAGAGTGCGAGAGAGGAGGAGGAGGAGGGAAGAAGAAAAATTAGTTAACGCTACTTTAATTAATGAATCTAGAGTAAAACAAAAAGCTACGTAGCGGCACAAGCCAGAGAGAGCATATAATAAATCTCATTTCATTCAAAGTCTCCTAGTCTCTCTTTTCCTTTCTCTCGGTACCTCGTCAGTTCCTATCTGCAATAAAAAAAAAATATACACGTGTATACCTCTTGCGTATCCTTTGAGTCCGTGGAAAATTTAATTCATAGCACAGAGTCGGCGCCAGAATGTAGTAGTAGAGGTCGGACAGATTCAGGTTGTCCGGATATTGCACTAGAGGAGCAGTTGCGGCTGCAGAATTGCCGGTGCTGCTGCTGCTGTTGTTGCCGCCGCCGCCGAGGCTGTTGCTGCTGGTGTTGATGCTGCCGTCGCCGCCGTCTGTCTCGTGTCTCGTTTCATCCGACTCGCAGCCGTTTTGTTTTGCCTCCGAAGCTAGAAATTAAGTGAGTATAGACACGTGCATACAGTAGGTATAATTATCAACTCCACCCAGACGCAACCCGCTCATTTGACGGTATACCGGATGGCGTTTTTTATTGTTTTTGAAAAAAAGAAAAAAAATGAAAAAAACAAATCATCGTCGGTAAATATAATCGCACGAGAGACGCGTTGCGACGCGAAGCTTCGCACTCGGGGTGCACAGGAGATGCTCGCGGAAGGCGTTCGAGCGCGTTTAATTAATTACTCTCGCGCCTCGATTCTTCAATGGATCAGCGTTTTAATTAATTAGAACGCGTTCGCTCAGTCTAGCTCTCTTTTCATATAAACCCCTTTCCGGCGAACAAGCGCCCGCTTATATATACGCATGCTCTCGCAGCGGCAGCAGCGCGTCTGACTCGAGCCTGGCCTTAACTACTTCCTCCTTTTTTATTCTCGCTGGCCAAATTACTATAATCTCGTGCACATGAACGTAGGTGCATTGCGTTTCTCTGCTGCTGCTGCTGCTGCTGTTTCGCGAACATCGATCAATTACCGCTAACGAGTTAACGAGTTTATCTGATTTATGCACGCAGAAATCCTATGCATCGTAAATATACACAAAAGCTACGAGGCGCCAACGGTATGTATACTCTTTCGATGGAGTCGACTCTCTCACCTGCACTCGCGCAGGAACGAGCTCGCTGCTGCCCATCTGTACACATACGTGCGAGTAATCCAATTCCTCGGAATTAGCAATGTGTAAGCCTCTTAAACCTAAATACTCGGACCAGATGTGGGTGTGTGTCTGGTGTGTGTATGCGAGTGTGTAAGCACGAACTCGTGACATCCGAAAGTTAAAAGACTTGTCTGAACACAGCTAAGATTGACCTGCGCCCCTTGGCAAACTTCCATGTTCCATATCGACTTTTCCTTTTTCTATGAATCAAGGCGCCGCCGCGGTTTTTCTCGATGTAAATTTACTCATGAAAAATTCAATATAAATTTGCAAATCCGCGACGAGAACGGTGACGAGGGCGATGCTATTTTATCAAAATTAGAGACAAGCGCTACAATAACACGCTCGAATTCAACCAGTTCAAATAACCCCCAAGAGAGTGTGAGCAAAGAAAGCTGATTACAGTCAACGTGGGGATTGAAGCGCGAGCAAGCAAAAAAAGATAATATTTAAATATCACCAAGGTAGCTTGCGGAGGAGCTGGGAGCTACTGTCTGCGGCCAATCGGTTTAGTCTTAGAATCCCGAGCGCAGTTCCCATTGTGCTCATTCGCCTGTGCGTCGCTACTTAATTTGCTCTACCCTGCTCGTTGCACATTTCCTATTTTCGACGACGAAGACGAGACAAGGGAAAACGATAAGACTATAGTCGCGAAAACTGGCAGCAAAAATTTTCTTTTTTTAATACGCTCGCCATGGGTTGAAAATGTCTTGGCTGACGGAAGGTGGTTTGAGAGCAGCGCTACTTCTATTTTAAGAAAGCTGGTGTAAATATAATACCTCTGAGGGCTGTTTTTCTCGCCTTTCTTGCGAGAAAGCAAGTTTTTTTAATCGATATTTACAAGCGCTATGAGGAAAGCAGCTCGTTTGTTTTTTTCAACGAGTTTTAGCAAGTTCCGAAGCTTATATTCGAATTTGTTCTCAGTTTCAATTTTCACTTTTCAAATAAGAAAGAACTCATCGCGCGCCACACTAGTCCAAACGAGTGCTACTTTTCAACTTTTATTATATAGCCTACACTATAATACTTTTGTGGCCAAGCGGAGTATTGGACGAACGGGGCAAGATTGCCAAAAAGTAGTTCGGTCAACAGTCGGCCACCGCCTCTCTCGCATACTGTACGCTCGTGGCGATAAATTAATTTCTTTCGGCAGTTTTATTGGCTCGTGCGAGTGATGCGAAACTAAATAAAATAATGCAAGAAGAAATAGTCCCACGATATAAAATGTTTTCGCAACGCAACGAGCGCCTCGTGTCTTCTTTTACCCGCGAAAATATACGACTCTTCCAAGTGGAAAATCTTATATACCAGACAACAAACGGAATGGAAGGAAAAAAATGTAATACCTTGTACCCTTGTATATATTTTTAAAATATATAAGAAAAAAACGAGGAAACACTCGAATATATAATATTGTTTCGCGTGTGGTTTATGCAATACATATATGCAACAGCAGTCGTGTGTGCGTGCGTTGCGACGAGACTGAAGAGTTTCGTGTATTATAACGAGGAATTTTCGTTGTTTCTCTTTTGCGACTTTTGCACGCATCGAGTGGATGTTATATATGTTCGAGAAAGAGACAGAAAGGGAGAACAACGAGTATGTAAAAAATTTATGCTCACAAATGTATAAAGCTGTCAACGTAACTCGACGTTGAAATTGACAATTTTTGATTACATTTTCTAAAAAATTAAACCTTTTTTTTATCGAGTTTTCTTACGAAAATAAAATTTGCGACAAATTTATAGTTGAAACTTATTTATCGGAGTAAACCCGTCCTCAGAGAGTAATTTCGAAAATTCTAATTTCACCGCGGTAAGATTAGATCTTTTGATGTCGGATTGACGTACTACGACACAAAAAATGATCAATGTAAAAATTATGCCACTGGGAGCTGAAAAAGTACGCGATATAAAAGAGAGTTATTTCTGTATACTGATAATCTGGCTGGAGAAGATTTTTAATCAGAAGCAAGTGAAGAAAAGTTTTTCTCTGCCGAGTAACACGTGCTCGTGTATTATTCGCGCGAATAACGTGTCGCATAGCGACGCGTATGGAGCAGAAGAGCTACAAGAAATGAAAAATAATCTGGCATCAAGAGGTCGAGTACATAGGGCAAGAGTGGATTTTTGGCACCCTATCAACATTTACAGTTGCAGCCAGTACACGAAATTTTGCCGGGTGCACTTATTACGATAAAATCCAACTGCAGCTACAAGATGTTTTTCGTTCTTCAACAGTTCTTTGCCGAAAATCATACGTAGCTTCATTTTTAAGCGATTAAAAAGAAGACGCGCCGGACGCTTTAGGGTCGTCCACGCCAAGTTAAACAAGTTGCAGAGGAAAAAGTAAGCGAGAGATTTCGGTTACAAGAGTTTCGGGAGTAAGTAGGGAAAGTCATCGAGGCAAACGAGTGTTTGGCACGCGAGAAAGGCAGCAGCAGCAGTAGTGGCTTGCAGCACGGTGGCAGACGCCTTATGCCAGTCCAAGATTTTCCCCTCGCGCCGTCGCCAACAGAGAGATCGACCCGCCTACACAGGAAGCAGCTGATATTACTCGGAGAAAGAGAGATTGCTTATTGAAATTTCGCAAAGAGACGTTCGAGCTCGTGCATGCATATACATAGTTGGCGCGTAATTGAGCGGTGTAGCTCTTGCTTGCAGTGCGCCGGGCACATGTATCACGACCGAACGAGAGCAATGGGTCGATTAGAGCGGCGGCGATTCGGTGGCGGTGGCGGCGGCGGCGGCGGCTCAAAGCTCTCCCACGCTGCAGGGGAAAATTTAAATAATCGATATTATATTCTTGCCTGTGCTGCAGCGCTAGACAAGTGTTCGATTCGATGGGAAATAGAGGCAAGCCATACAGCGAGATCGGCAGTTAAATTGCCCGGAAATTATCTAGCCACGCGAGCGTTCAGCTTTCGCTTTATACATAATATCTCGCTACTACTACCATGTGTCTGCAGTATGTGTGTACGTGTGTGTGCAAATATCCTCTCGTCCGCTAGACGCATCAAGCACTGCTCACTGCTGCTGCTGCTGCTGCTGCTACTACTACTACAACTGGAGGGAAAGGGGGCCGAGGGCGTTTCAAAAGCTCAAGAGCTATATGCCAAAGAAAGAGAAAGTATTTCCATTATATTTTCAATAAAGATACTATATGCGCATTGTAAGCTCTCGACTGTAGTGCATCGAAAGCTCCTATATACGCGAGCTTGTACAGCATTCATGCTGTTTATTGGTTCTCGTGCAGCGAAATGAGAACCGAGCTTGACTGCACAGTATATTAACAGCGTTGATTGCACAAAGTCCGCGCGATGGAAATATATATTTCCATCATTGCGGTGGAGTTGGGATTTTGAAAATTCGGCCCAGCTCGGACTCTGTACTGTACACCCTATATACGTGAGCAGCGATATGCAAGTCAATTTGCGCGCATCGTTGAACTTTTGCGATTGTCTACTGCCGCCGCTGTATCGGGGGCAGGGCGCAAAATCCAATAGTCGCGTCGGCGGTCATGTCAAATGGCCAAAACTTACCGTGAAGATCGGTGTAGCTCAGCGACTGCCTTCGAAGTCGTCCCTGTGATTGATTATTGTTCTTGGCCGCTCGGCACCACATATTCACTTGCACGTAGGACCACAGCTTGAGAAAGAGTATGGCGTACAGCATGCAGACGTACATGGCTCCAACTGCAAAGATATTAAATTCAGCGTTAACGTCGAACAAAGTAAAGAAAGTTTAATCATTGTGTTGTGTATTTCAATATTTTTCATCTTATCCCATCAAAATGCGGAGAAAGTATGTGTTCAAGTACTTTGTTGAATTATTTTGTAAAATAAAGTTCGCAACATCGAACTCTCAGATTAACAATTAAACTGACAGTAATTAAAGAAATTCGAATTGTAGAGTCGCGGAACTAGCAGCAGACGATGATTGAGTGAAGAGAAGAGGGGTTTTTAGCCCTTTTAAATGTCAGCTTACAAAGTCCATTAATCCGAGAGCTTCGCGCGCGGCGTTGTACAGAACAAACAAAGCAATTCGCTGGCAGAATTTTCCACGCTCTATAATTACGCAAAAATGTACGGCGAAACGCAGTTGTGTGTCGGCGGGTTGGGCTGTATCGAGGCGAGTTGTTGGCGGGAGAGCCGCACTGTGCGCGCAGCCACCGATATATATCGGCCCTTTTGAAATTTTAATGTCTATATATGCATGCGCGATGCGTATAATATACAGTATACGTGTGTGTGTACGCTCTCTCTTGCGACCGGTACAGCAGAGTACAGAGTATATATCACAGAACTGCGCATAGCCGCACACACGCAACTGATTCCATTGAAGAATAACCTATTATTCGCAGCTTGCGCGCGGCCGCTCGCAAACGTCCATTATAACGCGGAGCGTGTAATTCCAGCATAAAAGCTACAACTGCCTGGTGCGCAACTATTACCCACCGTTACCCCCGCGTCCGTTCGGTTCGCTCGTGAGCATATACGGAGAAGTAAAAGCAATGAAAAAAAAAAACAGATTCTTGTTCGTATGTATAATGGGCCGAGGGATACAGAGTAAACGTCAATTTTCTATACCTGCTCGACTACGGCTACGACGACGACGACGACGACGACGACGATGTTCTGATGCAATATTAGAGAGGTAGTTTTGAAATTGCAGTCGCGTGCTCGGCGCGAGTGATGTGTTCGGCTGCATATATATGTGCGCCGCACACCCACACAAGTACAAACGTAAGATGCGGCGAGGGGTAGTTGACTGACTCGTATGTGTATGTATATAGCGTAGCAGCTAGCACGAGCATAGAAGAAGGCATGAAGAAGCGCATGCTGATGGTAAACGAGGAGGGTTGCTTCGCGTGTATTATATGTGCACATACACTGCAGCGGCGGTAGCAGCCGAGGCAACGGAGGCGCGCTATATATACCCTATATACGAGGGGATGAATGCTCGCCTAATGGATGGCAATTTATGACCCGAATGTGCTGAGAATATTTCACTGATTTTTGACGATTATCCCTCCTCTGCACACACCGCTACTCTCGCCTCGTGATCCATACGTATATCGATGGAAAGGAAAAAAAAGGGGGATAACTTTGAGCTCGCACGAACGTTATCTTAATACAAAGGCGCAAAAAATAAGTCGAAGAAGGCGCAGAACGTTGCTCGAGCGGTGATATCGAGAAAAGAAGATGGATTTATTAGCGCCGTAGCGGACTAGTAGCCACTCTACGTATACAGGATAATAGGCAAATGGCCTGTTCCTACCTATACCTACCGCTATATAGAGCAAATCCATCCACTAAGCATAATCCATACATTCATGCTATATAGAAAGAGCTTGAGAGAGCGAGAGAGAGTTATGAGGGCGTTTACCAATTTCGCAGAGCAATTGATTTGCGGCGGCCTATACGCCTGCACACAGGACTTAATTCGATTGAATTTCCCGGCACTTGGCCTATGCGTACGTACGCGCCGGTCTGTAAATTGAGCTACTATACTCGCATTAATGCGTTTCCTCCTATTCCTCTACCTCTCGCGAACCGACAATCTACGTCTCGAGTCATATTTTTCAACCTTAAGGCCACGCGCAAAACTTTAAAGATTGACATTGAATAATCGTTTCGAGCTTGGCTTCGATCGGGCTCGACCAATTTTTCAGAACGCGTTTCATGTATGAAGCGCAATTCAGAGAATTTTCCGCGAGCGCGAGGATAAAAAAGGGCGAGCGCAAAATCCCCCTTCTACTAAACGATATTCCTTAAAACTATACATTTTTTTCCAACAATGTATGAAAATCCTTGCTGGCTGCTTCTGCCGAGCTCGAGCAGTACATCCTCGGCTGCGCCTAGGTGCGCTCAAGCCGCACACATCCTACTACTAAACCACACCACTTTCACAGTATAACCGCAACGTGGCTTTCTGCCCTCGACATTAATAAACCAAGTCTGCACTCGTGCGTGTGTATCTCCGCGAGTGTGTGTACGTGTGTACGAGCGAGAAGTCTGTATGTATGTGTGTCTGTGCGCGCACAGTGGCAGCAGAGTACCACAGCTAAAGAAATGTGCTCACCCTCCGTGTGCACGAGCTTCATTGTTGTAAAATGTTCAACATAGCGTAGAGAAAGAGAGAGAGAGAGAGAGAGAGAGAGAGAGAGAGAGAGAAAGAGAGATAGGAGAAATGCATTTTTCCAAGCCATACAAGACAGCGCGTATAATACAGTGAACGTGCAACGGCGCCGGCAGAGGGTGAGAAAAAATTTATATATAGCTGCAAAAAAATCGACTCCGAGTATATGCCCATTCGATACACATACGTGCGAAACGAGAAAAAATTATTCCTGATACCAGCGGAATAGCTTAGAGCCGTGTCAGCTTCTCGCCTTACCGACGCGCACACACGTGCATACGTATTGTTGCAATGCGAACAGGATTAACTCAGTCGCAGCGTATTTTTCCCAGTTCATCAGTCAGACCGCAGCCACATGTTTTTTCATTAAACAGATCCATCGTTTAAAATTACATTACTTTTCACACGTATTTTTAGGTACAAAAAAGCGGACTCTATTTATAATGAAATTTGATATTCTTTTACTTGGTTAGAAAAGTCCATTTTATTAATAATTTTTGTGTAGCTTTAATGCAATCTTACTCAAGGTACGTGTAATCTACTTCAAAGTACATTGCTATAATCGCGGAAAAGCACGACTATCAGCCTGCGGCTCGATTACTCTAGGAACGCAATAAAACGTGATACACGCACATATATTATTTTACCGAGTATAACGTTTGGCACTGTCATTTCTTGGCACGAGACTTTGGTTGTCGCAAGCTCGTGTTCAGTCGCTAATGCACATAAGTTAGAAAGCGCAAAGTTCGAGACAAATCGTCGTTGCAACGGAGTTTAGAATGCAGTTATTTGTCTATCACACTGCTGCTGGTGTTACGTGACAAAATCCATAAAGAGCGCTTCATCGAAAGTAAAGATATCCAAGAAATACCAGAGCTCGAATGTCCGGATTGCACCGAGTCACATATGCGCGTTAAAGTTTTCGCAGCTAGTATCCCGAATACGTACCAAATTGATAACATCCCACGCAACGCTGGGACTGCAGTGCGGCATACGTAGTCGAGAGAAATTTCCCGCGAATCCGAGACGCTATTTCGAGAGATCAAGAGATTTCGATTTGTATCGTATAGGTCGCGAAACATATTTGCCCAACTGCGCTGGATATAAGAATTTACAGTTTTTTTGTTGTTGTTGTTGTTGTTGTACAAAAACGTAGGTGTGTGATGCAGCAGCCGGCAGAGGTGCGCAGACGCCGAGCATACAGGCACGTAGATTAAACGAGAACACGCAGAGGAAACATAATGGAAATCTGATTTGTCAGCGTTACCCCGCACACCCCAGTCGACATGTGTATTATATATACGAGTATGAGGTATATACACGGGGGCGCGCGCGCGAGAGAGAAAGAGAGAGAGCGAGGCTACATACCGATACAGGCGCGAGCGAGAGTGGATCGTTATCCCGCGCGCTCTCATCGCAACGGCCTGGTGGTATTAATTGCAACCCAATTAGCTTCCATTACCATGGCTGCTAGCAGCAACAGCAACAGCAGCCCCGTGTACATCTCGCTTTGCTCGAGCTACATGCAAGAGTACATATCACGGAGGGCTGGCGCGCGCTACGTGTGATGCTCGCAGCTTCTTCCGTGCTAAAGGATTACCGCATCGCAACTTGTGCCTGCATATGTATGTGGCTGCAGGACTAAACAAACTTTTGATAATACTTGTTATGCAGTTTGGAAGTCCATTTGCTATTCAGCCTTTTAAATATCTTTGAATAAATTTGGCTTTTCAATGTTTCATGGGGTTTTTGGATAAAATTATACACTTTTTTCAAATGTAGAATAAACATATGTATCGCGGTAGTACTTATTCCTCGCGTTGCATGGAACCTCGTTTTTTAGGATTTAAAAGTTATCTTGAAACAAAAAATGAATTAACCCGTTGCTACGACTTCTATAAATAATTTGGTAATTCAAATAGGATCCTCAAAAAAACTCTCTACGGAGCGAGGTTCCATGCAACTCGGGAAATAAGAGCTCCCCTAATATAATATATGCATGCTGGAACCACAGCTGTAGAAGACAGGCTAATTCGATATTGCTTAAGAGCTTCGCAATATCCTTGCTTGTGAAGTGGCCGGCGTACTTTTTGTCGTCCGCGCTAACTACCATCGAAAATCGCAAACTGATTTTGCTACGAGGTGTACCACACGAGCTCGCGCCACTGGAGAATCGGCCAAGGGAGCTTTTCATGAGCGACGAGAAAGGCCTGTCTATGCGTAAATCTGCGGTCTGCTGCGCAACTCTTTGAGCGCAAAGTTTACCTGTCGTTTGGACAGCAGTGACACGAACATTACCCGTGGCGGCCCCGTTGTGTTTGCTACAAGTGCAGAGCCTCCGGACAAAGTGAATAAACAAAGTCGCGAGGAAAAATATCGCGAGTAAACGATAACAATGCACTTGGAGCGGCCCGGAGTAACGGATAATTTTCGCATGTGCAATGCCCTACGGCACTTGTACGTATACGCGAGAAAACCAATTTTCGGGGGGCCTCGGCCGTGCCACCTAATTTCGAATGGATTATCCGTGCTGGAAACGAGACTCCGCTGCCGCTGCTGCTGCTTCTGTTGCGTTACTGCTCTCTCTCTCTCTCTCGCACTTTGAAGGCACAGGAGGGCCGTTGGCTCGCCTTGGCATAGCTAGTTAAACCTAACAGGTTGGCTAGGCTCCAAAGCGTCTTCCATATGTAAATACTCGAGAGCTGCTTATATACACCATCCGCGCACACGTGTAGGTGTGATATGACTGTACGCGTGTGTGCGAGTGCCAGCGAGGCTATACTACCTTTGTATAATGGCCATGAGGAGAAAGAGGCATATAAGGGGCTGCGAAACTACCGCTACGACACGAGATTACTTCCAACTATTGTTCGGAGCGCCGCCGACGACCCTCCGCGACAGCGACTGTACCGAGGGTGTCTCATTATTGCGATTAAAGAGCAGCCAGCCTCTTTCTCTCTCTTACTCTTCCCCCTTTGCTCTCTTTCTCTTAGGCTTATCTCTCCGAGGTGGCGCGCGCTACCTTTGTTTGACTCTTCTTGAACGGAAAATTCGGTGATTACCCTTATCTAAATTTCACGATTATTGCCCTGTGTTTGTTGCCCTTTCTAAATATGCACAAAGAAGGCCGTACAATGACTATGACGCATTTTCATTTGCTACTGGAAGAAAGGAGAAAAATAATATTTCGCCGAGAGAATTAGAAGGAATTGCGTGCAATCCATTTACCACGAAAATGATCTTCGAGACAGTATAATCATCTCAAGAGTGTATGCTTTCAATAATATGATGAGATAAAAATGCAAAAGCTGAATAATCACTTTGCACGCACTTTTAAAGCAATCATAATATGCTCAGGTATATTGGAGAAGGGCGCCGAACGTAGGTGGAAGTTTTTTTACAAGACAGGCTTTTCAGTTATCGCGTGGGAAAGTGGCTGCTGCGATATTTCACGGTCTCACTCTTTATCGTGTCGTCGAACTAACTTGTCGCTAGCAGAAGTCCTTTTGCAGAAGTTACTCCTTTTTTTTCGCTTTGTCGCACAGCGCACGGATCCACTGAATTTTTCATACACACATACGTACCGTACGCGTGTAAAAAAGTTGAAAAATGGCAATTTTTCAGTACGGCCCTGCAGCCGTGTGTACATTATATACACGGGATATATAAGGAAATCTTCGACGTAACATGTATGTTCTGCGCATTGAAAACTTCCAGTTAAGAAGTCACGAGGATCGAGTTGACATTTTTGTGAAGTTATCTCTCGCAGCGCGACAAGCTTTTTGAATCATGCCTCATGAAATTGTCGAGCGTGCGCTCGACAATCGTCGCCTCGACACTATTCATGCATGTTATTTTTAACGGGCTTCGGGAGGGTTTTTTTTCCTCTCATTACTGATGCAAAGATGAATTTTAATTTCGATCGCATCAAATGAAAACGTACATTTTCTCCAGACAAGAAAGAGGACGACGACGACGATGACGACGACGAACATAGAGGTAGCTGGCAAAATAGGAGGTCAAACAAGAGCTTGTAAGGAAATTACATTCTCAGAGTCGTCCGCAAAAGCCGGAAGCCTTTCTGGGCTGTCTCTGACGAGTAAGGCGTGCGCGCGCGACTGCCGCCAACGATGAGGACGAATTTTGAATAACAAATCGTCGGCTCTCGCGCAACTAATCCGGGACAAGAGCGTGAGAGCGAAGTAAACAAGCCGGAATACTGATGCAATAATCCAAATAACGAACTTGTCTGAATTTATATACCGACGCGGCTCAAAAGATGCATAATACAGCTCGCGCGTTATGCAGTTATATACCTATGGATATGAGCTCCACATATAAGAGAGGATGAAAAGGAAATCACCTTTTTGCCGTGCTTTAAAATAGAGGAGATGCGTGGCTAATTTATCAAACAAAAGTTTAAATAGCTATCTCTAATGCCGTTTCACACACAGCCGCGTGCGCAAGTGTGATGAGGAAAGATAGGAAGCCTTGAAAAACTTTGTTGTATTGGGAAGTAGCTACATAGGCGGATATCATTAAACTTAAATTCCGCGGCAGCTTCGTGTAATTTCTCTCGTCTTTTTTTGCCCTCTACCTCATGCCCCTCGCCTTTCCTCACCCGGTTGTATTATAGCGCACAGCCCTCGAGCGTTGTAAAAAAGTTTACGGAAATTTCCGCGCACGGACACTCGACGTGCGCAGGCGAAAGAGATTCAGCTTATATAGGTATATATATATATTATTATACATACAGATATATGCACTGGAGAGCTAAGAGCGCAAAAGCAAGTTTTACGAGTGCCTCTTAGTCTTAATGAGGAGGATACGCAATTGCTTTCTCTTTTTAGCTGTTTCTCTGTATATTCATAATTTTATTGTTGAATCGTTTGTTTAAAACTCCCGGAGTTTCTGATGGTACATAATGTTATAACCTTCGGAACATTGATGATTTATCATTTTGGTATTGTACGTTCAGTTGCAACTTCTACTCTGGTGGTAGACTGAGAATAATTAAATAATTTCGTACTCGTTGAAAAAATGTTCGTTCGAGTAATATATGTGCACGTTTGAACAATAATAACGCGTGCAAAGTAGTGCTACAGTCCACAGTGAATAGAAGGCAAAAGAGAAAAGAAGGCTTATTACAGCCAGTCTGATGATTGTGCGCCACGCGCGTGCGCTCGCAAGTCTGGGCGTACGAGCTGCCTGCACGAGTACCTTTCAGAAAACAATATGCGAAGCCGGCTCGCAACGAAGAGAGCCACTACTGTACACGCACACAGACTCTAAAAAGCTTGACTCAATTTTTCATTTTTTTTTCTTCTTTCATTCGCTCTCTTTTTTTCTTCGCTTTCACAATGGACGACGACGACGACGACGACGACGAGCAGCAGTAGTAGGCACGCGCAGACGAATTATCCTTGATAAAGGAGCTAGGAGAATCATTAATGCAAAATAGCGCTAAATTGGAGAATTTTGCGCGCGACAGCATCGATGAACTTGCGGTGTATTCGAATCCCCACACGTCATTACAATAACATAACCCTTAGGAGAGGAGTAGTAGTAAGCAGGAGAGCTGTGGCAGCCCGCGCGCCGTGTGGCGGTGGTGTACGATACGATAATAGACATCAGTTGCCACGTATATAGTACATTTTCAGCGCTCGGGGCGGCAGGAATGTCTTGTCACGTCGAGCATTTGCCACGTGCATTTGAAAATACATGCGTGACGACGTCGAGACGCTGAGAAACATTGTACGTCTGCATTATTCTCGACACGGCGGTGTACGACGACGACGACGACTACTTGGGCTATAGTCGACTGCTGCTGCTGCTGCTACCTAAGTAGTCGCTAGTACCGATTTGCTCTTTCTCAAAGTGGCCTTTTTCCCCATCCTGCGCTCAGCCAGAGCTCCTCACGTTGCTCCAAGTGCGAATGGCCAAGAGATTTTGATTTTATATGCAAACGTACGCGTGAGCTTTAAGCTCGGGATATATACAGAGGAAAAAGCAAACGAGCTGATACTGTTATTCCGTGCAAATTGTTAGAAAGGTCGATAAAAATAATATTCTCACGTGCAGATTTAAAGCCCCCCAGTGAATTTTTAAACTCGATAAAAAGTAGGGAAAATTTGTTCATATATTTATTCGTGGAATAATTTATTCGTTATAAACGATTGGATTGGCCCAGTTTGGAGGTGGTGGCTAAAAATTCCATTGCCAGCTTCCAGTCTCGCACTCCCCGGAGATTCTCGATATTGCTACATTCCCTAGGACTCGATCATCGATGGCATTTCTCTCGCTCGCTCTCTCTCTCTCTCTCTCTAGGCCTCTAAGGTCGTACAGCAGCGTCAGATACGCGAGCGCGCGCACGAGTGTGTGCGATGCTAACATGCGGTCAGAGCTATAACGGCAGCGAAATGCAACGTTGTAATTACATTTGCATGCGAGTGCGAGTAGAAGCATCAGAAACGATAGGTTAAATGCAGGCTGCGCGTTGTTGAGCCGGCCATAGCAGCTGCTGCTTATTCTGCGGCCAACGGCTGCAGTACGGACAAGTATTTACGCCCTTTAGCCTCTCTCTCTCTCTCGCTCTCTGCTTTGGCCTATCGGGCCACCGAGTAAATTTATCCTTAGCCTCGGCTAGGTATGTGTGCGAGCTACGCAAGAGCATGTGTGCTCACGAGGCTCGTGTGTGTTTAGTCGAATACTCACCCATGGAAAAACCAGATCCCTTCACTTGGATCGTCACCATCGGCATGAGCACCATGACTATGAGGTTGACCACGTGGAACGTCATGCCCGGCCCGTGGCCTATGAGATCCTGCGAAAACACAACAAAAGACGTTAAGAAATTGGCAATCCTCGATTACGCGATCGTGTTTTCTTGATTATTATTAAGGGCCGCGCACGAGCTTGCGAAACAATGCGAAATATTCTTGGGGGTAACGTACGCTACGTGCCGGCAATGCGAAACTTGGCGAGCGCAAAGAGTCTGTCTATATTGCCTGCGGGGTGTGTGCGCCCTGCGCAGTCTAGTGTTGCTACTATATCTATAAAGCTTTGAGTAAAGTGAATTGCGCGCGAGTAGTATCCGTTGCAATGCAGCACTGTATAAGCGCCCAGCCAGCCCGTAACGTGCGGCAGCATGAGAGAAAGAGAGAGAGAGAGCAACAATCCTCTTGAACCAATCACTTGAATAAGGCGAGTGAAGAGATCTCTTACTCTCGGGCGGCAAAGTCTCGGCTTTATATACACTCGAAAGGCAAACTATACTGTACATCGCCGCGTTTACCTACCTGTGCGCCGTTAACTCGGTAGCCAGCTGCATTTGTATAGGTCTATGTGTGTGTGTATGCACCCAGGACAAAAGGAATCTCGTACCACCCTCGATCCACAAATTCCCTTATTTTCTTGGCTACATTGACTACCCAGCCGGTATTTCGTGTATCTTTTGTGCTTGCATAACGCGTTACATATCTCAACGGATTATCCTATTGCGGGCTGGGAATCAATTTTGCCAAAGTATCGATTTTTATAATGAAGAAAAGAAAAAATTGCAGAATAAAAGAAAAATCGCGCAATGGATCAAATCGAAAAGTTGGAAAAGAGCGTATTGCGATGTATAATTGACGAAGTATGCGTGATTTACTGACTGGCGCGTACGCGAGCTAATGAAGACGAAGAGCTCGTTCGATGCTTCAACATTTTTTCGTCCTCCAAGTGAGCGGGAGAGGGAGAGCGTGAAGGCCAGGACAGTCGAGTGATGTATGAACATACACACATTTGACACGTACGTCTGAATGATTTATACTCACCATTGCTAGACCCTTCTCGATTAGTAGACATAGCGTTATCGGCACCGTTGAATCTGTAACAGAAAAAAAACGTCAAACATCAAAATACTTCGCAATTCGAGATGTGTTTTAACGCGAAATTTATGATGGCCGACCGAAAGCGATTTCGTACTACTTGAATACGCGTTATCTGCGAAAGTTGCGCATATAATGACGCGAGAAAGTATAGGAGCGAGGAGGAAGAAGGGGAGAGGATGAAGAGAAAAGAAAAAGAAAACAAAGGGAGAAAAATCGAGTAAAGATAAAGTCAACGATCGTATAGGGACGTGGACAGGCGAGCAGAGGTCGGCCAGGCGCGACAGTGCACAAAAAAGCATACGCTTGTTGCTTCACAAGTGTGCGACAAGTATATATAGTAGGGGAGATAAAACCGCGGCCGGGTACAGTCGACCACTTGACTTGGAATCGCTGGAAAAAAGGCACCCACACATGAGAGTGCTTGGACGCATCCAGATATTCACGTACGCGCGTACACGAAATATAAACTATAAAGCACAAGGATAAGAAAAAAGGTTAGCCAGACTAAAAGGTGATTTAAAATTTTCGACCACGATATGCTTTCAACGGTATATTACTTATCTGGAAACAACAAAATACTATAAACATTTGACACTTCTTAAAGAATATTTTTTTAAAAAATCTAAAATTTAATACAGGTTTCATGCAAAGTCAAACATTAAAATTTAAGTAATTTAAACTCAATTATATTCATGGTAATTGTAAATAAAATGCATGAAAATGCAGGTATATGAATTATTTTCAATACAATAATAAACCAAAACTATTCAATAGTATATTTAAATTTAAATATTTGGCTTGGTAATAATGTTTCAATAATGATTTATTTTGTGGGCTAATAGCTCAATAAATGAATGATGGCTCGATAAAATTAAGGACAGCCTTCACCGCTAGATGGCGTGTACATTTATCTATAAATCTGCAAGTGGCGAAGTGAATTCAATTATATAAGTCAAATCAGGGTTTACTGAACGATATCATGGGATGCCGATCGTAGTGTGATAATTATTCAAAGAACTAAGAGAGTTCGAAGCAGGTTTTCAAAAATTCATAAATACTGTTTTTGGTTATTAAGGTGAATTAATTTGATTTATCTATGAGTACAAACATTAACGATAATGTTATAATGTTATTTAATTCAAATTAAGAAACTCAACTAAATTCACCTTTTCCATTATAAAAGTAAAAAATTAAAAAAAAAAACATATATTTGAAAGTAATGGAAATTAAATTAAAAAGTAAATTAAAATTTAAAGAATTTTACATCACATTTAATGTGATATAATGCATGAAAATAATATTTAAATTTCATTCGAATATTATTAATTTTAATGCTTTTATATGGATTTGAATTCGCCTACGCGAAAGAAACAACTTGTTCCACTTTTATATTTATTTTCTACCGAGAGGTACACAAAATAATCTTCAATATATTAAAAGGCATTAATTTTTCCGATTCTTTTCTATTATAACTTTAAATAATTTTAATAAAAATTTTAAAATCTTGACTAATGAAAGCGCAAGATGAGCAAACGTGAGAATCATTGAATTAGATTATCTCTTTCTGTTTCAAGTATCACTTGGCATGCAACTACGCGACATTGTTTTTACAATCCATAGACAGCACAAAGACAAAAAGCGTTTGAAATTTTTAATTAACATTACGTATTACTGTCAGTGCTGCTGGCTTTGTCTCGAAGATAAAGCAGAAAGAGCCTCGAGCAACGATTGTTTGCTGCACTTTGCGACTTTATTTAATTTTCGTCTAAGCCAATGAGAAAACGCCAATCCACGCAAATCTAGACGAAGCAGTGGACCGTGAAAAAATTACACCGCTGCATACGTTAGAACGACACAAGAGCAACACAGCGATTCAGAAATGAAAGCGAGAGACACAGACAAAAAAGTGCCTACGCATATCGTTCACAATACGAAGCTCCCGATCCATTGTTTCAAGTAGAATCGCTGCTTGTACTATTTCCCAATGAGCTGCTGCCGCTGCTGCTTGCTACTGATTTTACTTTTTGTCGTCGAGCGCGAACGGCTCAAAGGCACGTCGGCTGAATTCGGTTTATACGCCAGTCTGCTTTAATGGGAATGAATGGAAACTGTACCGCTTGCGCGCACTCGCGCAGAGGCCACCTTTTAGCGCGTGAAAATTCACGTCGTGTTGAGTCATTATTATTTCGTTTTTTTCCCTTGCCATGGCTCTTTCTTCCGCAAGCGAGAGAAAGAAAAAAGCCTCGATTTGGCCTGGACAAAAGAAGAGAGTAGTCAGGGAAAAATAAAATAAAAAAAAAGTAAAAAAAAAGAAAGAAAACTCAAACAGGTTCGGGGATCTAAAAAGGAAGCGCGTGTATAGGGAAAGAGGTATTGGCGAGTTTAGACTTTAAATCCTTGCGAAGCTTTTGAGTGTGAGAATAGAAAGAGTTGGGAGTGTGCTGAAATTTTCTATCCGACCGAGCCTCGCGAGAGCTACGTAACTGCCGGTGAGCTCACAACATCAAAGTTGAAAGTGCAATCTTTGAAACGCAGTCCGTTTGCAGAAGAAGATTCTTTGAAATGTTTAGCTGCTACTTTGAAATGATTCTTTAATTAAAAAATGCGATGATATACGTATAGATGTGTACTTTATAGAGCCAAGCACAAACGCATTTTGTGCATCGCATGCAAAATACTTTTAATCTTTTTTAATTAGAAACCTGGACGACAACACGGCAATGTAAATTTTCATTCAAGATTTATGACTCTTGTAAACTGTGCGTAATATCTAGATTCAACAAACAACAATGTGAGAACAAACAGCTCGAGCTCAAGCTGCAAAAAGTTTGATAAATTTATTAAATACAGCAAGTTCACAGACTCGCATCTCGCATGCACATTGCATTATAATACATTCGAATACGAGATGCCGAGGTTCGTGTTTATACATACATAGGTATATACTACGTAGGACTGCGAGCGGCGCTGCTGATGGCGCGGCGTCGGTGGCAGCAAAAGCATATAATATGTAGTTCGGCTAATTTCGGTCGTCACGCGCCACGCGCGCACACACACGCGCGTAAATGAGTATATCACGCTTATACTCATCAGCAAGGCGCAGCATCAGCGCAGCGCGCGAGTCGGGAGGGCGGTCAGGATATAACATACGCACTTGCAGGGTGCAAGTATACAGGAGGAGGAGAGTGAGAGAGAGAGAGAGAAAAGCGGATGATTTTTGAGCCAAATTTCGCTCACTCTCGGCTTTGAAATTTGATTATTTCGCCAAGTGTAATCCATAACACATACACGTGTATATGTATTTACAACTGGCGCGAACTCGAGCGCCTCTTTCAACATTGGGTATAATTAAGGAAATTAGAAATTCTCCCTGCTCAAGGGAGCTTGAATAATCGCTGTATAACGCGTGGCGCGGAGCTCTCTCCCTCGCGCGCGCGTATGCTTGCATCGTTATATGCTCTCGTGCCATTATGCGCAATAGTACTCATTTTAGTCCTGTTAGTTGATTGTTCGAGTGTAGACCTGCGAGCGTATGCGTATTCTGCTGCCAACAAATTGCTTAATGCGTTTAGTCTAGCGTTAATTTTTCGGACACGTCGGCTGAAAAGTAGCTTTATTGTGTACAAACTATGAATCAAACGATTTACAACTTGGCTCTCGGTGCTCATGTTCAGTTAGTTGTACAAACCTGCGGCGCGTACTCCCTAACCTGACGACCAGTTCTCGATGACGCGCACCTGTTCTTTTTTTAATTGAAATCTTTAATGATCAATTAACTCGTAAAATTCATTACATTAATCACGCGAGCTGAGATTGGTGCAATCAATCGACGTAACGATTGCCAATTTGACGTTTCGAAAATTCGATCAAATTCAGTTGATATAAATCGTGTGTAGCCGTCATCTCGTGAGCGTCATCGTTGCTCATTTTGAACGACGCCAAAATGAAAGAAAAAAAAGCAGAAAAAAGCAGCAGCAAGCGAAAAATTAAAAATGAGAAACGACCAAATCGCTTGACCGCTTGGACGGTAGCGTGTACACGTACAGTTATAAAGCACGGCAACATCGTTACAAGCTGTTACCAGCTGCGCGCTGCAGCAGCAGCAAAATCGAAAGCTCCCTCCGCATGGCCCGGTCTCGGGCGAAACTCGTCTCATACATACAAAACATCTTTCAGCGTTGCGGGCCGAAAGCTTCGGCTAACTCGTTAAGAGCACGGCGCGTCACGGCCCTCCTTGCGCTGCACACTCGCAGAGCTTGCAAGCTCGCGCGCGAGGTTAACTTTGCGCGGCGCTTCGTGTACGTTCTCTCTCTCGAGTAGTAGTAGAGTGCGCCCCAACTTTACATCGTTGATGAAACCAGTGGAGGGGCTAAGGGGGACTTGTTCTCCTCATTTGAAACTTAACACTGTCGAACAAGGAGCTTCCGTCGACGCGGCGCGCAGCTCTACGCTATATAAAGCTAATATACCTGCGCGTCTTATTTCTAGCACCTATCGACATGTCGGTTATGCGCGCGTCTACGTGTGCACGTGTACCGCTGTGTAAATGTGTGTGCTCCGGGTTTAGCTAGTACATTGTGTAGCACACTCCACTAGCGGTCAGGCAGTCAGGAGAGCTGCTTTTATCGAACCATTTTAGTTGTAGCGTTAGAACAAAGCGCCTCGCTGCGCTCTCGGTATATGTGTTATGTTTATTGGAATCGAAGGGAGCTTTTTTTCTATTTACCCGAAGAAAAACCACTCCTGTTAGAACTCGTCTGAAAAATACATGCCATTCGATCGGCCTGAAGAATACCTCGTCGACGATAAAACATTGAACTAATGGCTCGGAGCGAGTAACACGAGAGAGAGAGAGAGAGAGAGAATAAAAAACAAAACGTAGATGCGGCTCGTTTCATTGGCCGAACGCTCGGCTGCTCGTTCTTCAAGCGCTATGAATAAGGAAAATCTTGTTCCCTCCAGCCGCTTATGGCCATATAGGTTTGACGCGCAACTTTAATTACGCAAATATCGCTGCACATCGTACGTATATACGATGCGGACTCGAAGAGCAGAATCCTGCCAACAGACACTCACAGCGAGAGGATATATTTTACGATACAAGCTCAAACTATAAAAAAAGCGTCGCAAACCGTGAAGAATATAAAAAAGAGGGGGCGCGCAGGCATCGTCGAGAAAATAAAGAGTCACCGCGGCTCTGGATATATATATACGTATGTATGTACGGTTGCGGCAATGGTATAGAACGTAACTGGACGAAACGTCGCCGTTTCTAGATGGGATCGGGCACAAGAGAAAAGAGCTGTTACGCGTCGTAAAATGTGAAATTAACGTCTGGCCGGGCCAAAAAACTGGTTCACCGATTTCTATGCTTACACATTCGCACTTTTATTATGGAAGACCTGAAAAGTCCCTTCCTGACCCTGCCTTCCTTTTTTTTTATTACTACAGTTTAATTTTACTACCGAGCTCGCGGCTCATCATATTTTTCAGAATATTTAGGGTGCAGGCAAGTGTTTTCGAATATTATATATTATTTGCAACAACCAGTTATATTTGAGTACGAAGCACGGCATGTGAATGGAAACATATTTGATACTCTATATAGTGTAATCTAAAGCTCAATTTTTTTCCCTCTTCTTTTTTGTTAGAACTAGTTCACACTTTAACGCTTGCAGGCTTTTTCGAAATTGAAAATGGCGATCGAGCGTAGCGGGATAAAAGAGATTCTAGTCACTGGCTATGAATTTCACATTGGACTTTTTTCGTTCATATACAGGTGTGCACGCGGCAATTTTTGTTCTTCTCATATTTTACAACTTTTCAAAGTTACACCGGGATTAATTCGTTGCGACGCGTGCACGGCATCCGACCATTTTTTCAACTTTTTTTCGCCAAGTCTTTCGCAAAATTTTACGAATATATAGAAATAAATTCACTCGCAGCCCTCAACTATTTTAGAAATTTTCTCCGGGTAAAAACATGTTTGCCGAATCGGAATTAGAATCACCGCACTGGCTGCAGTGCACTGGTAACACAATTTAGCCGCACGAGCTTTTCTCGCCTGCATAGCGGTGAGGATAGCGAATTTTCCTTCAAGTGGCAACGAAGACGTCGCGACGGCGACGAAAACAAGCCAATAAGAGCATCTGCTGTTTAAGCGAGAAATTGGCCCGATGCCGAGGCCTTAATGAAGCTATACTGCTGCCTGCCTGCCTGCCTGCGTCGAGTGCAAAGACGATATAATAAATTGGCCTCGAATCTGACGTGTTTTAATCTCAAACTCTTTTACCCCTGCTGAATTAATTAATCCTTTTGAAATCGGCTAAGTCGAGCAGCTATGTGCGCTAAATACACATCGCAAATGCTTTCCCGCATTTTCTGCTCGAAAAAGAAATCACATTAGGTAGCTGAAAAAGCATTTGCTAAGGAATCATTATATGCGGGACAGCGTGTAAGGGAAAATTCTGAAATATGAGGGGGGCCTATTAAGCTTCTTTACCCTTCGTAAGCATTACTAGAATATAAGAACCCGTATATATGTATGTATATATAGGACGCCCGAGTAAATGATGCGCAGCTTCTTGCGAGGCTCGAGCCAACGTGCAGATCCTGCAAGTCCAAAGTTTTTCGCCTTATCACGAGCTCCTCTTTCCTGGCGTTTGACTTTCTTCTCTCGAAACGCTTTGTTATTGTTGTTGTTGCTGTTGCTGTTGTTGTTATTATACAAAATGAGCACAGGGAGAATATTGTACTAGCCCCCGGCTACTGTGAGTTACGGTTTTTGCTCCCTATAAGCAGAGGCTACTTTGCAGCCAGGTGATTGCTCTCTTTTCAAGCGAGTAATGTACGAATAAAACATCTTTCTCTTGGATATGCGTCCGGAAGAACAAATATCCAAATTTATTACAAAAGGGTCCAAGATACTCTTCTCAGGATTAAATTTTTAATTTTCAATTCTATAGAGCAAAAGAAAGCATGGGCTGCGAAGAGAATTCGGGAAACGACAAGCGGCAATTTTTATGAACGCCTTCCTATGATAAATCTCGAGTCAGCCGCGAAGAATAGGTGGAACGAAGTGCAGTGTCTTAAAAGCTCGTGCCTGCGCATTAGCTTTTTTCTCTCCTGACTTTTTTTTCGTACGTACAGTTACTAGTGCCGTTTCCAGCAGCTCTTGTCTGCAGTGAGTTTTAAAATTTTTATATTCCAGATATTCTCGAACGTGCGGTTTTGTTTTATATCCATTTTTTTTCTTCCTCTCCTTTTTCTACTTCCGAGCGTTTTAAATCTCTGTATATATCCGCAGCAGCAGTTTGAAGTATTTTCTTCTCTCGCTCACGACAATACGGATCGCGTTACTCATGAAAGAGAAAGCTACTGCCGCTGCATCGATGTTATTGGAATCTCGGGGAGAAAGAAGAATGCGGAGAAGGGCGAGTAAAAAAGAATGAGTTTTGATCGACATCTTCTTGAAAAGGCGATATAAAAGTTGAGATTGGGTCAATTTTCGAAGGAAAATTAAAGAAAGATGACGCCTTACTTTTCGACTCGATTGAAAATCCAATGTTTCCAAAAATAACCGGTGAAGATTGAATTGATGCTTGAATATTTCATAGCACGTGAAATAGTCTCTCACGCGAGAAATCGTTTATCTTATATTTTTATTGACTTTTTTTTTATTCTTATTTTTTTGTTTCTCTTTTTCATACAAAAAGCGTTGAACTGCACTTTGAAATAATACAATTTATCAATTAGGCTATTTATTTTCTTTCAAAGCCATTAATGTCGTCAATCATGTTTTTTTTCTGAGAGTGGCTTCCACTTGGAAGTTGAAAGTTTAGCTGCTGCGCTAAAATAGCCTCAACAACAAAAGCGCGTTAAAGACGCTCTCTCACACATGCACACAATTGCAGTATGTTTTGTAGCGGTGCGCAGAGATTAATGCTTTTAGAAGCGAGTTTTTTTTCTCAAGATTTATTCTTTCTTCATACGTATGTATAATAGCGGGGCGCACATAGCCGCAGGAAAAAGAGACGTTTACTTTTTGAAGTCGCAGGACGTTTTCTCTTTCAGAGAGGGCAAAAATTTATTCAACTGCTGCATGCATCTCGGGGGCTGCGCGCTGCACTGCTTCTGGGGAGAAAAAAATCTCCAACGGAAACATTCTTATTCACCTTCACACCCGAGAAAAGCACTAGTACCCACACGCGCGAGTACAAAGCCCTTTGCTAGCCTCCTTCTTTTTCTACTTATTCTTAAAAGCTGTCAAAAAATATGACTGCAATTAGGCTCTTGGAGCTTTGGCGTTTGTGCATATTGCGCCGGAAGACAAGTTACACCTACTATGCTTAAAACAGGAAGTCTGACTTTTTTTCTCTGGAAATCGAGTTTACGCGCCTTATGTACGTGGACTGTACTGTAGGTAACCTTGATAATGATTCGTCAATTATATCATTTGGTCAAAGGTTATATTGTGGCCTTTATTATGCATAGTAAACCTACAAATAATTTTTTGGAACTTGAAGTCGTTTTTCTGATTTTGAATGTTCGTTAAACTTCTCATCATAAAAATACATTTTAAATTATTTTTCTAGAAAAATTATTCAAGTTTTTAATAAAAATTGTCTATGCAGTTAGTTGATATTTTAAGCTCAAGTGTTAGTACCAAGATTGATGCGATATAACTACCACATACATTTGGTTAAATATTTTTAAACACGTACTATACAAATTGAACAAAAAACGTAGGAAAATGAAGGGTAACTTACAGAGAATGAGTAAAACGGAGGGATGCTCCTTGCTGACGTCGTTCTTGCCGGTGAGAAAGAAGAACCACTGCCTCGGGTCTACTCTAATGCCGTACCTGTGGACCAGAAAAAAAAGAACGAGACATGTACAGTCGAAAAGAATAAAAAAGGAATACGTGCGCGCACGTTCCGACACAATTTACTATACCCATGCTGCCATTAACGTCGCGTGAGCTGCGGGGTTAGACCATCCACACACACGCACACACACACACACACACACACACAGATACACGAGTCGTAGAAAAAGTTGCTCTCGCAAGCTTCTCTCATCGAGTTAATAATGGAACGCGCCCGCCAGTGTCTTATGCTCAATTGTACATTCTGAATTTGGAACTCTGCAGTAGCGATGGAAAATTTAAAGTAGTACCCTCAAGTATATTACCGCAAAACCGCCAAGACCGATATAGAATGTGGCTCTGTGACTGATTACGACAACGTGATCGCTATACTTTACTTTTTCATAAAAAAGACAATCTCTGGCACTTATCAGAAGTGTATGTAAATTTGAAAAGACGATACACCTTTCGTATGGCTTTACACGTCTTCTTGTTCAAGACAAAAATCACAGCCTTACTGACTGATCACTGTATATAAATGTATATTTTTGGCATAGCAGGAGTGGTAACAAACGATCCTATGCATACATTAATGCTCATAACTGCTACTTTGTGCAAGTCTCTTTTACATAAGCGACTTTATGAAAAGCGATATATAGCTTGGAAAGGGGAGAGAGAATGTATAAATTATGACTATATCGTGAAACTTGTGACTGCTCGAGGAAGGCAAAAACTTTCAACGATGATCAAACTTGGCCGTCCCGGGCTCCATCGCAGCTTTCTTTCTTTCCACTCTTTGAGCTTATTTTCGCATCGATGACACCGCGACGACACAGAGAGCTGATTCATTCGTTTTTTTCTGTCTTTTTCTCTCTCTCTTTTTTTTTTTAATTTTTAGTTCAATTTGCACGCTCTGACACCAGAGAGCTATTTTACCCCTCCACAAAAACCTCTAATTAAGTCAAACAGGCTTCGAGCTTGTGCGCAAAAAAGTTTTTTCTTTATACCGAGAGAGGAGAGAGAGAGAGCTTTTATATAGTATAGGTACTCTGAATGACGATAGTAGTAGCGGAGTGAAAAAACGAGGCATTAAAAATGTAAACAGAATTTAATTGCTTTGGCACGCAAGCAGATTCGAAAAAGGAATTTCTCACCAATCGTTTAAGCTCAGAAAAAGGAAGCCGAAGTAGAAAATCGAGATTTAATAATTGAAAGCGCGATGAGTTTCGCGCTGCACCTGGAAAATTGTCGGACAAGATTTTAAGGAGTATAAAGGAGCTAGACGGCGACGACTCGGCCGTCGTCTGCAACTGATTACGTATACTGAAATTGAAAGACGGTACTGCGGTATATATAGGCTTAAGCCTGCAGGCTTCGGTTTATGTTTCAAGTACAAATGGAGTGCTATATGCATATTGTGCAGCTTAAATGGCTCTCCGGTGTCGATAAATAAATAACAGCGGTCATTCGAGGCGAAGAAAACAATTACGCTTAAAAATGATCACGCGTGTAATTGCTTCTTCTGAGCTGCGGCCACGCACTAAAGATGCTGTGCAGCCAGCAATTAAGCCGGGGCAAACTTTGCTCGCGAGCGCAAAGCTTTTCTTGACTTTTAACGAGCGTTATAAATTGTTGCCTTTGCCCTATCGTGCGAGAGATAGAAGGAAGCTTTCTTGTTTGCGATAGAAAGATCGATAAAGCTGTACTGCACACGTGAGTATATAAGTTGGCGTATTTAAAGGCTTTCTCCACTCGTCTGCTATCCACTACAACATTCCAAATCTTATTCAAATCCATTACAATCTCCCTCGCTCTCTCTCCGTCTCTCTTCAGTCTGGCAAACAATCAGCTTACATACATACACATACAGAAACTTTGTTTGAGTTTCGACCATTTCGATTTCTCCTCTAATAGTTCTGGAAAATCTTCTATACGTATATGTATATCCATAAGCCGCGTGTAATATCATCGACTGCAGCAGCAGCTGCAGCTGATGCAAGCTCGTTCCCCTTTTGCATCCCGCGTGGACATACGCTACGGTACACACACATGAGCAAGGCTTAAAAGTAAACCTACTATCTATCGCTTTTTGTTTATATTGAAAAGTTGGTCGGGCTGCGCGAGCGCACACATTCTCATTTCTAAACTTGAACGAGTGAATAATACGCACTATAATGGCTTAGCAGTGTAATCCGAAAGGAAATGTTGAACTCGGGAGCGAGTGTACGGGGCCCCAAGTAATTACTATGAAATGTGCTGAGTCGTCGAGAAAGCGAATATTTGTCAAGAGATAGTGTGTAGGTCTTCGCAAATCGATACCTCGCGATCATCGCATCAATCAAAATTCCCTTCGACGTTATACACGTACTTTGAATATATATGGGCCAAGTCACAACAACTTGTTTGGTCAGAATATCATGTAACATGCTTATGTAGTTTACATCAACATAAGAAACTTCCTCAAATTTGTGTCCTCTAGGTCCATTCCCTATGGATTCACCGAGGCTCAAAGTTGAGTTTTTATTTTTCAAATGTTATTCTGATTTTTAAGGGCTGACTATGAAAAATATTTTAGTGATTCATAATGTAAAATCAAATGAGAAATTCAAATTTTTTTTCATAATCTAATTTAGTACGTAAAAAGTATATAAAACTTAATAAGTAGAAAAAAGTCCAAAAATAAACTTGTTCTTAAACTTTGAGCCAGTTCTAGAATATGTTATTTTCAAGACCAAAATACAACTTCTCAAAACATCGAAAATCCATGAAAATGAAGCAATTTGATAAAAGGTATATTTTTATCTTCAATAGAACACATTCCATTATTGACTTATTCCAAAGTTTCGAACAATTTTATTTTTGGATGATATGCAATTTTCCATTTTTAAATTATGATAAGGTATTAAATATGATTTTTGAAATGCAATTAGAATTCCTGATCCAATTTGACATAACAAATTATTTTGCAAATATTATTTCATAGTCATTTTTATAAAAGGAGAATGAAATTATAAAAAAAATTCAACTTTGGGTCTCTGTATATCCCTCTGTATGAGGATTGAACATAGAGGGTTCAAATTTTGAAAATTTTCATTTTTAAATGAAAAAGTTAAAGAGTAAATACTTATATTTTGAGATTTCATTTCTTTTTTGACGTGATGTAACCCATATACATTCACGAGCAAGTTTAAGTGCCGTGACAAGTGTAGCGTCTGTCGAGTGGATCATCAGTTTTGTACGTCAGCATCTCTCTTTCCCCTTTAACCTCTCATGGAATCGTTGAGTTTTTCTTTTTTTCCATTTTTTTGGTTGTTGTCAAATTTGAAATATCCCTCGCGCGGCAATAATTTCATCGACGAGAACAAGTGTAAATTATCGGCGCACGAGTAAAATAGCTTCGTTACTTTGCTGCGCGTGATACGAAGAGAAAAGAAGCACTAGCAGAAAATCGTAAAAGTATATCTATACACCGAGCTGCAGGGTTAATCATACGGCAATGTGTATATAGCGCGAAAAGAGAGAAGAGCCTCTCCTCTGCTCGCTCGCTATACTACGGGGTAAAGAAACTTACTTTATAAAGTTCTCCAATAAAAGACGAATTCCGCCAATGCCGAGTAGTAGGAAACCCCAGTTGACGAATCCCGTAAAGTTGTCGAAGCCCGAACTCCATGAAAAGAGACTATCTCTCGGGCGATGGCACCTGTAATGAAAAGAAAATATAAATAAGACCAATGCCAAGAACTATTCTTCCGTCAATTTAACTATAAACGAAATTTTTTCTTTCTTTCTTTCTTTCGTTCTTTCTCTCTTTATTTCTTTCTTTTTTTACACATTTTTTGTAATAACTCGAAAAGCAAAATGAAAAAGAGCTGCAGTGGCCCTGTAAGAATATATACAGCCCCACAATGAGAAATACCAGCTTGCATCCACACGCGGTAACTTGCGCTTGGCAGATCCGGAAGAAACAACTACGACGACGACGAGTGGGTTTTGTTTCGGCGACTGTGACGCAGTGAAAATGCAAGCATTGGAACGACTGCGCGTGGCATTGTTAGCTGCTGCCGCTGCAACTGCTGCCCACTTAAAGCAAGACGAGCGCCGCGCGCTGCAACACCCCTTCACGGTGGCGCGCCGTATATATATTTCTTAATCCATACGCAAGACTCGGTGCACAAAAAAAGGTGCGCACTCGCGATACCTACAAGGGCGCGTCAATTTTACAACACTTCAACTTTCAAATTTTCCTCTCGAGATTCTGTTACAAATCGTCCTTCTCTTTCTTTCCTCAAGTTGCTCGAGTGTACTTTACTCTTTTTTTTCTCGCCCCAGAGTCCGCGTGCGCGCGCGCAAAAAACTCGTACACAGACGTTCCCAATATGGAAATTTAATTTTAATCCGAAAAAGGCATTTTTTCCTCCAAAAATACACGTACAACAGCCTAGGTGCTCTTAACGTTATACGTAGGAGCTCCGGTACCTCGTCTGCGGATGTATTCAGGGAGCGTAGCCGCGACGCGCCTCGCTCATCCTTGCGCGTACGCATGATAAATCGTGCATTCTTCGCGTAGTCTTGGCTCTCCCTCTCTCTCCTCTCTTTCTCTCTCTCTTTGCTAGATGCTGCTACATCTGCTGCTTCTGCTACTACTCTACAGCTGGCTGAACATTTACCCTAGCGTACGTACCTTAGTTGCATTTCTATGTAATGTTATTTTGATCTTTGAACGATATGATCGTGTACACACGCGCACCCTTAAAGCTCATGATTCGATTCTTCGGCGTAAAATGTAGTGATTACGTTTGCGATGTGATTTGCAGCTGCGTGTTCGTGCGCTCTAACACACATAAGGCGCACCATTGCGCGAAACTCGACTTATACATAGGAGAAAAAAATAACGCGTCTCCGCGCAACTGTTCGCCATTTTCCGACGTAGCCATGAGAGACGTCATTAAAATAGCAAAAGCACAAATGGATTCGAAAGTTCACTTTAGAGCTAGAAAATAGCGCAGCGTGTATATGCCTTCGCTTTCTACACGTTTGTTCCATCACACATATCGCTGCCGAGAGAGGGAGAGAGCTGCATCAAGAGACTCAGTCGAAACTTTCTGGACTTTTGAAGAATTTGCAAAACTTTTCACCGATTGACTGACTTTTTTTGCGCATAGCAGTCTGTACATGCACCTATTCGCGAATGGCTCAAGAAATATATATACACGCGCTACATATATGCGTCGAAGGCAAAGAGGCCAGGGGAATACACTTCTTTATGGACTCGTAGCAGTGCTTCAAAGTAAAAAAATCGAGTGCAAAGTTTGCTTTCTATATACGTTTAAAGATTTATCTAACTGTTTTGCCTGTGCGTGTGTGCACACATATACACGCTCGCGCGCGCGCAATATGATTGCTTGAAAAATATATATGTATTTTTAAATGAGAATTCGAAGTACTGCTTTTTCTGGCATATTATACATTTTTTCCACGACTATTACGAATAGCGTATTTGACATTGGCTATAAGATTTATTCTGGCGAATTTCTCGATGGCCACAGCGGTGGTAGGCAGTCTGCTGTGTGTCACACCAAATGATATTTTTCTGATACCTACAATAAAACGTCGGCATTTTTATCTCTTCAAAAATATTAACGTGAAAAATAATGATTGTCAAATAAATAACGGAGCGCGCGCAACCGTTTGAGTTTCGTTTGTTGCAGCTGCCCCGTGCAAGCGAAAATCCCGTCTGCCTGGCAAATGAATCCGAGCAATAAGTATAATTATTATCGCTTCGTTTCAGACCAACATATTTATATAATTTTCGCATTTCCAACGTAATAATTTTGACATAAAAACACATATTAAATTTATAAAAATACAGTGAATTTCGAAATTTTGTATGAAAGCGTGATGGATTCACGCCATTGGCTTCAACCGTTGAGGGTAATAATCTGCAAAATCAATACCCGCGTTGTTCCGCTCGCATTCTTCTTTCAAGTCTCGAATCAAAAAAATGCGAATTGTTCCCAAGAATTTTTAATATCCGTACTTTTCTATTTTTTACCCATTGAAAAAAAGCGTCTTGCGGAGTACTTTATCTTGTCTGAGACAGCCGGCATAAGTGAGTATTTGTATCGCGCGTCGAAACTTCGGGTATGCGCGCGTATCTCTATATACATTAGCCAGAGCTTTGCCGCACCCTATACGCCAAGAAAGTGTAGCGTGTTCAGCGGGTAAGGTAAAACTATACTGGCGCTTATAGCAAGTAAGAACTGTATATGCTCGTGCGCACACATATACAAAAGCCGTAACGTGACAATAGAGCTAGACAAAAGCCAAAGGTTGGCGAAAGAGAGGCAGAGCCAGAAAGAGAGAGAGAGAGAGAGAGAGAGAGGAAGCGAGAGGAAGAGAAAACCAGCTTTAAGAAAGTCCGATGTATATACACCGCCGCTGCAGCCGCACACGCACGCGAGGCAGAGTAGTGGCAGCAGCAGCAGCAGTAGCAGCTTAAACATTGATATTACTAAGAGGATTTGCCCACAATTTCATATAGCCATGTTGCTACGCTTTTTCGGTGCTAGAATCCATTTGGCCTACATATACAAAGCGCATATAGAGCGAGAAAGAGAAATGGTTAAATTTTAATCAGAAGCTTCCGCTGCGTTTATTATATGCGAGTACTCGCAGGGACGCCGGCCGACGTTGTTTCAAGACAACGCGTGTGCCGTGCGGCTCTTTGGATTATGCGCGCACGCGAGGCTATATAAAACAAGCTCGAATTATTTTCATTCGCGCGGATCGAGGATCCCACCCCGTCGTGTACGCAAAATTATGCCAGCGCTTTCGAGAAATAAATAGTGCGCTCGAGCTTTTCTCCCGCTTCTATATACAGAGAGAAGCGAGTGCGCTGCGAGCCTACGGATTGAATCGCTCTAGAATACAGCTCGTAGCGGTATTTTGTCATTTATAATACGCCAAAAAATTGATGGCTGTATTACCGCGAGGAAAAAAATCTATTGCTGCCTCGTAGTTCGAGAGTGTAAAATGAGTAATTGACTATTATTTTTCTCTTTCTGGTGCGTGTGCATGTGCGCGGGAGACAAGTGGCTTTTCAAGCACATCTCGCTGCAAGCTGCAGGACTGCGCGTGCTTTGTACGGGTAAATATATTAGGCGGAATAACGGAAAGGCAGACAAGAAAACGAGAGAGAGAGAGAGAGGCAGGCAATTAAGAAAGAAGAAGTCTAGGAAGGCTTTGGCAGCTGCGTACAGATATATAGCTATACACGATCCTCGAGGGCTGGAAGAGAGAGGAAAAATCTCTTTTCAGTGGCCCCAAGACTATATCAGTCTGCGTATACAGTCAAAGCTTTTGTTTGTTAAAGGGGTGTGCGAGTATCCGATTTTTCGAGTTTTACCGATTGAGTCGAGTTCTAATAAAGTCAAGAAAATTCGAGTACCAGAATATTTTGGTAATGAATACACAATTTAAGATATTTTACTTCGACTTGTCCTTGTCATTGACTTGCACGGTCTGATGTACATCGTCGTTGATGTCAAAGAATATCTGAGCAAAGTTATAGCAATTCTTGCAAATGATGTGCAATGGTGTCAATCTATTCTCATCGGCTATATATATTGTGGTTTGCATCTCTTCTGATTAGTAATTCGACAAAGCTTCTGCGATCAATTAACAAATGTGACTCGATCGAGTCGATTTTTTTTAGGTACTTGCACACCCTTAGTTTATAGGCGAGCGATAAAAAAAAGGTAAGCCAAAAAAGCATGAATATTAGACGAGTGCAGATATAAAAATAAAAAAAAAAGGAAGAGGGATAAAATCAGCGTACACGGCTCGTAATTCACGAGTCTTAGAGCCTCGCGGCGCGTAACCATAATTACTCGTCTCTGCTTGCTCTTGCTCATTCTCCGGGCATAAAATTGTAAGCGAGCGCGAAGCTCAGAGCGCACTTATCGAAATTTACGACGTTTCGGCGTATAATTAATTGAATAAAAGACCGACTTGGCTGAGTGGGTGCAAGACTAGGGCTGACTGACAAACATACACGCGCGTGCATATGTACGCACACACTCACAATTCATCGGAGAGCGAGAGAAAGAGGCTCAACGGTACCGTTCGCGCCCGCGCGCGTGAGTAAAAGAGAGAGAGAGAGAGTGTGAACGAGGGAAAATTTGTGCATGCATGAGCACCAGACGCACACGCATGACGTCGTCGTCGCTGCTGCTGCAAGTTCTCTCTCTCTCTCCCTCTGTTTTTTTTTATTTCATCCCAACCCAGTCACACACACACACTCACACACATACGCACGCCCACACACACTCACACAATGTCGCGCGATGTCTCGGATGAAATTAACGCTTCGGTGAACCGGTACCCTAGCTAGTATAACGTTTATCTCTGGGCTCTCCGCGTGTGTGTATGCCTATATACACATCTGCGCACTCACACGATGATACGATGACGCGCGACGTAGAAGGAGAAATGTGCAGACGCTTGATTGATCCTTGACGTGTTGAGCGCATATACCGTGAGCGGAAATATGCTTGAAATGCTGCCGGTGCCGCCACCGCTGCTGCTGCTGCTACTGCTGCTACTGCTACTGCTTCTGCGGGGGTACAACGAAAGCAGCTCGAGAGATGCATTTAACTAAGTTGCCATGACGATACCTGCACGCGTATGCGATAGCTATTG